TTTTTTTTTTTTTTTTGAGATGGAGTTTCACTCTCGTCACCCAGGCTGGAGTGCAATGGTGCAGTCTTGGCTCACTGCAACCTTCACCTCCTAGATTCAAGCAACTCTTCTGCCTCAGCCTCTCAAGTAGCTGGGATTACAGGTGCCTGCCACTACGCCAGGATAATTTTTGTATTTTTAGTAGAGGCAGGGTTTCAGGATGTTGGCCAGGCTGGTCTTGAACTCAGTTCTGACTTCAGTTGATCTACCCAGGTTGGCCTCCCAAAGTGCTGGGATTACAGACACTCTCTTTCTTGAATACCTTTTTAATGAAAAAAAATGTATACAACACTTCCTCCTATCCATTGAAAAATCTCATTTCAAATTCTTAATGACTTCCCCAACAAAAGAAAACAGATGCTTCCCCCAAAACTCCAGATGCTGTACAATGTCTGACACCACACACAGCTAATCTTATATAAACTAAAGATTCATTTTTTCTCTCCTTTATTTTTTTCTATAGCACATTGTTCTGCTTATGAATGTTATACATATAGTCAATTATCCAAGCTAATGGAAGCAAGCTGTGGGAGAGATGATTAAGAACAGTTCATAATCTACCCTGCTATTAGTGCAGGTGTCAGCAAAGAGTCTGGCCAGAGACATCATTGTAGGGAGTGAGTGGTGAGGAGAAGAGGGGCTTGTAATCCCAAGATAGTTATAGAGTGGCAGGGAAAAGCCACTGAGGAGGGATGGGGTAAGAAAGCCTGATGAGGAAGAAAACATGAAGACAGATGATCACTCATTAATATGAATGTTGTGAATAATCTGGACTTTACTGTTAAGTTTAAATGCCTACCTGGAATATGATACCAATTAGCTTAAAGCCATAAGCTTGATTTCTGTCGTGAGGAGTTTCCCTACCCCACTGGTTATATTTTAAGGTGACAGAACTTGCCATCAGTCTCAGAAGTCAATCTTACAAATGTGCCCTTGTGATGAGTAAAGAAAGTGGCACAACCCATATCGGGCCTGGTACATTGAAACAATCAACATTCAGTCCAATATATTGAAAGGGCATGTCATTCAACATACACATTCTATAGATTTTGAATTGTTTCTGTTAATTTTCTACATAAAAATCAAGAAATATACTTGAAAATTATAACCACTGGGTGTTTAGTACTTATTTTCAACACGGTTTCAATCAAATGGTCTGTTTAAATGCAAAGAAGACGTGGGCATCTCCTTATTAATTCAGTAACTATTAAACAAAGGCCTTTTATATTGTTTCCTGCCCTAATAAATCTTATATACTGATGAAGTTGTGTATATGCAAGAAGGCAATAAACTCTTTCTATATTATAAACATGTAGTAAGCACTTCACATACACCATAAAATCGAAATCAACCACTGAAAATAAAGAAGCATTAAAATGTACATGGTAGAATAGCTAGAGCCATCCAGAGTTACTTCTTCCAGTGGCTTAGAAAATGATAGAAATGGAAATTCATTGTCAATCTAGGAGAGTCTGTCATTTTTTCCAGCAATTGCATCAAAACAGAAGAGTAGCAGACGCAGACCTTCGATTTATAACCATCTTTCCCATAGCTTTATGCTGTGGGCTCCTTTGGGCAGTAAGACTCCAGGGTCCCAACCAGTGAATTTTTCAATTACTGATACTATCCTGCCCTGAGAGATAGGAAGTGATAAAACAACAAGTAAGAAATCATTTTTCATAATTCTTCAGAGTCCAATCTAGCCTCAAACCTGCTTCTCTTGCAGTGCATTCATGCTATGAAAGCTGAGTTTCAGTGGATTCTATTGCCTCAGAGTAGAATCGCTTCACATATTTTTCAGTAGATTAGCCTCTGGAGTATTGCTTTTTTACTCACAAAGTCTAGCAAAGCAGAGTATAGCCTATGAGTATCCTCACTAAGGAGACATAAATATCAAACAAAATAATTTTAAAGTAGCCTTGCTTTCCAATATTTCAAATAATGATGGTTTCTTTTAATAAGCATCCCAACATTTTTTTTCCCAACTGCTTGAAGAATTCTGGAATATTTAGATTAGGGATTCAGTTCATAAAATCCCAGTTGATTTGTATGCCAAGAATTATGAAAATTATGAAAAGTCTGCATCAAAGAAAGTTGAATGTCCAAAGAAACTAAATTATTACTTGTTATAAAATAATTTCCTCTTCCAAAGGAGAGGATCAATAATCTATTGAATTATTTTAAAAATAATATAAACCGTCCATTTTAATTGCTTTACTTTTGAGGTCAATAGATAATGACTTTCATTTTTATAAAATATTTCCATGTTAATGACTCCAAGATCTATTGTTTCAGGGATTTTCCCTAGGCACATGAAGCTAAGGTTGAAAGCAGTTAAGGGTGCTTAAATTCCTTTACAAGCCTATTATAAGCCAATATTCAATCAAAACGATTATTGCTAGCCATTAAAAAATCCACTAAGTATCAGGGGTAATAACTCTTGCATGTTATTACTGGGAATTTCTACAAAGCAAAGGGCTTTTGTGTTGCTGTTTGCAAAGACTGCTTAATTTATTTGACATCCTTGGGAAAAAAGAAATCTGCTGTTCAACCAGAAAAAAAAAAAAAAAATGTGGGTTTGTCCCTATTATCTCTGAACAAGAAGTGCAAGGAAGCTTCGGGCTAGAATTAACATGAGATAGGCTATTACAGTTGTAAGAGCATTTAGCAGCCTTCCCTACTGACTTCAGGGCGATAATATATACAGCCCGGGTGTAATCTGTCTCCTCTGCTGCTCTTTCTTTGCCTCTCCTCCTCTCCTTCTTTACTAATATACATGCCTTATTGTAAATCATGATAAGAAGTGAACAGCCGTATGTTTCTACTAAAGTGACATCATTCAGTTGGAGTTTTACCTTTGGCAAAGTCAAGTAAAGAATCACCGTTTAGATGTAACAATTTTTTAAAAGCCAAACACAGCATTCAAAAATAAGAGTATTCTATGACTGATGCTTTAGAAAGTAAATTATATCTGGTATCTTTTCCACTAAGAAAGGTGTTTTCACACACTGTTAATTTTCACAGCCAGGGAATGCAAATATTATTTAGACTATGGTATCATCATTTATGAAATAAAAGGCAGCAGTGTTAATAACTGAAGAATCTTCACCTCTTATTAGTTTATGATTAAGAATGCCTATAATTATTGTTGTAAATAATAATATCTACCTGGTACTGAGTATAGTCCAAAGTACATTTAAGAAAGGCAGCGTCCTCCTTGAAACTTACAAGATAAAATGCACCAAAAGTGATGTTTGAGCATTTTAGTTACTGAATTTCTCAAGGTGGTTTGAGTTTAATCTCTCTTAAGTTGATGTTAATCCTCTTGAAATTAAAAATGTAAAGCAAAACAAACGAACAAAAAAAAAAAAAAAAAACAGCATACAGACGACATTCAACAATTTTAAAAGGTCAAGAATCATAAAATCCAACAAATAATATTAGGATATAGAATTAAAAGATAAAATTTATTTAATTTTTTTTCAACCTTTACACTGCTGATATTTAGAGTTGTATAATTCTTTGTTATTGGAGGCTGTCCTGTGCATTGTTGATGTTTATTTAGCAGCATCCCTGACTTCTACCTGTTAGATTTCATTAGCACTCCCATCTCACCCCACATACACAACATGAATTGTGACAGCCAAAACTGTCCCTGGGGGACAAAAGCATCCTCATTGAGAACTACTGCTCTAAGTGAAAAAACAAATGTAAAATTTGACAATATTATAATTATATCATTAACACTGGGAAAAGAAACTGTCACCAAACTCTCAGTTGCAACGTACATATTACGGGTGGCAAGATAGAGCTGGGCTTCTCACATACTTCTATACACATTCTGGGAAATTGAAATGTAACAAATACATGAAAAACTTATGATTAAAATATCACAAAACCTTTGAAATACCATTTTCATAGTCTGTTTGGGCTGCCATAACAAAATACCATGAAGTGAGTGGCCTAAACAAGAGAAATGTTTCCCCGTTGTGAAGGCTGGAGGTCCAAGATTAGGGTACCAACATGCCGACATGGGGGGGTCTGGTAAGGGCTCTTTTTGTAGGTGACAGACAGTTCTTCCTTTTTGTGTACTTACAAGATCTCTTTTTGGTGAGTGGGGTGGGGATGGGGGGCACACACAACCTCTTTAGTGTCTATTCTTTCTTTCTTTTTTTCTTTGAGACGGAGTTTCGCTCGTTACCCAGGCTGGAGTGCAGTGGCGCGATCTTGGCTCACCGCATCCTCTGCCTCCTGGGTTCAAGCAATTCTCCTGCCTCAGCCTCCCAAGTAGCTGGGACTACAGGCATGTGCCACCACACCCAGCTAATTTTTGTATTTTTAGTAGAGACGGGGTTTAACCATGTTGACCAGGATGGTCTCGATCTCTTGACCTCGTGATCCACCAGCCTCGGCCTCCCAAAGTGCTGGGATTATAGGCCTGAGCCACCGCTCCCGGCCTTAGTGTCTATTCTTATAAAGGCAATCCCATTACGAGGGCCACACTGACAGCTCATCTAACCCTAGTTACCTGCCAAAAGCCCCAACTCCTAAAAATATCACATTGGGGGTTTGTACACTAACACGTGAATTTTGAGGTGACATAAACATTCAGTTAATAACAACCGTTAAATTTCTAGCTTAGAAATTGCATGCTGGTTGAGACAAGAAGTAAAATATCTGTTCCTATAGTCCCGGAAGAATAAGATAAATAATTCTCAATGACTTCTTAGTATATCACATATCTTCATTGTGTGTTCAAATTAAATAAGCATTATTAACACGGCTGGACATTTTTATTGATTGATTTTTAAATTATTGCTGGGTCTTCAACTTATCAGGAGTTTGTGTTTTATTGATATTTACATGTAATAAAAATAAAAAGAGAGCAAAAAATTATCCCAAAATATATAGGATCCAGAAACTATGTAAAATAGTATTTTTATTATTTACTGAAAACTAGTCTTGGTACTAAAAGCCTGAATGTGGTTACTCTGAGACACAGGGAAGGAAGAGTGACCCTATGGGGTTGAGAGGGTGGGTATGAGGGGACCCTCAGAGTGACAGGGTGATTCTGAGAGCCCATTTCATGGCAAAGTTGGATACACCTTGTGACTCATCAGGTTGTACACTTAGAATTCGTACGTTTTTCTTTATATATTTTCTAACATAATAAAATATTTAAGAACTGTTTTGAATCACACATTTACGAATCACACGTTTACTGCTTTTGCAGGAGAGATAAAGAAGGCAGCCTCAACCCTCAAGCAAGTCAAAGTCTAAAGGCAGATTCAGACCTGCAAACTGATTGCACAACACAATGTGGTAAGTGATAAGTGACATATATGAGCGGAGTTATTTACTAACACAGGTGAGGAAATAATTAACTGTGCCTGGGGAAATCAGAAAATATTTTATGATAAGTAGCATTTGAACTGGGTCGGGAAGGCTTGTAAGGGCCCATGTTGCTAAAAGTTAGTTACAAAAAAGTAAGTTAGTTTTGAAGAAAAATTATAAATGTACGTTATCTGATTGTCAGTCACTTTCAGGTAGCTCTATCTATGTTGATTAAGACCAAAAAAAAAAAAAAAGTGAACTAGAGGCAACCAAGTAAAAACATCCTTGCCTTGTTACTCAGAGCTTTATCTAAAATAGTAACGGTAAGCCTGGACATGTGTTTATGCTCCAACTGTGGATGTCTTTGTCATTGAAATAGCTTTTTTTTGTTTTTAACAATGTGACAATGAAAGGCAGAAGACAAGGAGGCAATAGAAGAGATGAAATAGTAAAATGTCAAGTAAATGCCGATGGAGTACATTATGCAAATTGATACTATGCAAATACTTAAATGTGGTCTTAGTGATAAAGAGATATGAAAATATGAAAAAAGTTCTTCAAAAATGGTTGCCAGTCATCAGTGGCTGATCATGAATACAAAAAACTAACCCTTGAAAAAAAGAGCAATGGTGATGTTCTCTTAAATTCAAGATTTAACCCGGAAGAAGATGCAGGCTCTGAGATAGAGTCGCAGCAGCATCCACGTTAACCAGAACTGGAATTCAGAGAGGAATTGCTCTCAACCTTGTATACCAGTCAGAGGGTTTGTTGCAGAGAGTGGTGAGAAAACGTACCAATTTTAATGAGATAAAAAGTTTGGCTTAGGAATTTCTGTTTCGCTGGAATTGTATTATTGAGAATCATTCTTCTCTGTCAAAGTCACAGTTGAATGATACTCTGGAGAAATTTCTCAACCAGAAGTAAAATTTCAAATTATTTAAAACCTTTATTTACTTTACTATATTTTTAATTTGGGGATTTCTCATTCATTTTTATTTAGCTAATCTCTCTCAAGATGGAATACTCAAACTAGTCAACGCTCAGGAGTGCTCCTGTAAGCTTCAGCTCTTAAAGTGGTTGACTCCTCACAACCACCACTTCTCAGGCTCTTTCTCCACACTACATATTTTCTTTAACCTCAACTTAGGAATTCAATAATTAATTCTACTTTATTTTGCAGCTCCATGCTGAATTCGGCATAATGGCATTTGCCGCACTTTCATGGATTCTCTCTCTTTCTCATCTTTCTGCTACACTCAAAACTATCTGCTACCCCTGAATCAATACAAGCACCACCTTTCATCCTCGTTTATGATGGATGTCTTACCCACTGGTAAAGATGAATCTCATTACAGCATCCCTTAGCACTCACACAAAGATGTGTTTTCTACTTTATAACAATAAGCTGCTTCCTATTATAATTACATTTTTTTCTACTTATTTGAAACTTTTGTTCCAAATATTTCCTATGCTCTTCAAATCCCCAAGCATATCCCTATCCCACTCTGTTACCCTATCCCACTCGGTTAGTAAAGATGCACATCAGTCAAAAATCCCATAACTTCTCTACCAGGCTCAGTTATCTACATCCAGTGTTGCATACCCACTTCATTCCTCCTTTGCCTCTGAGATCAGACTTTTCCAGTTCTCAGAGAGTAAACCTTTGACCCAAGAAGTAGAAATTATACTATCTTTCATTTTCTGTGATCTCACTCCACTAATTATCCTTTCTCTTTTCTGTTAGATTGTCTTTAACTTACCTAATTAAAATAGGCAAATCTACTGTGTCCAAAAACAATTGTGACTTTTTTTTTTCTAGAGAACAACAAAAACCACATCTCCATGTTACTACCTCCTTCAGTTACTCACTTATTTCCCTTCATGCCCTTTCTCTATTTGGTGAAACTTCTTGAAAGAATACTTTATACTTCCTTTTATTTATATACTGAATTTTTATTTATTTCTTGTAAAGGGGTAAATAGAGAAGTGAGAAACTTGTTTGAGCATATATAGAGGGCTGTGTGTCTTTGGGCAGATTATGTAACTTTTCTAAGTCTCCATTTCCTAGTCTATAAAATGTTGATACCCACTGTGCGCAATTGGTAAAGGAATTAAATAGCATAATACAAAACACTTGACACAATACTTGATATAGTATAACACTCTATAAATATTATCTATCATTATTCTTTAGTGTTTTTGTTCTCTTTTTTTTTTACTATTGTTCTTCAACCCATTATAACCACTTCTACCCATAAGCCCGTCCTGCATAACTCAATGGAATCACCCTTCTGAGAGTCACCAACAACCTTATTAAATCCAATGAACTATATTAAAAGTTTTTTGTCCTGTTTTAATACTGATATTTGATGTTTTTAGGTGCTCTTGCCACTTGGAATACTTCCCTTATTTGATGTTTGAAAGGTCTCTCCCTCTCTCTCTCTTAGTTATTCTCTCTGCTTATTCTTTATTTGTGTTCATTGTTGAATCCTTGCTCTTAGTGAGTGCCTAAATGCTGGATCTCATCAAAGCTCCATCCTTGATTCCATTTTCTTTACTTTCTTGAATGTTCCTTAGGAGAGTTTACTCCAACAAAGCTGATGACTCCAGCTCCACATCTTCCTTGAGCTCTGAACTATTTTCAGTTCTGTACTGGAGGGCTTCACACAGATGTCTCATATACATATGAAACATAGCATGTCTAGAGTGGAATTCATTTGTATTCCCCTCAAATACTGTGTCTCCTGCAATCTTTGTCCTAATTTTCTCTATCTACTTGTCTGCAGCTCTAATTCTGGACCTGTTATAACTCAACTGAAATATTCAATTCATTTGTTTTTATCTAGTGGACTTGCAACCCCAGTTATCTTCCACATAATTGTCTTCTCAAAAGCCAAATATTGGCAATGAGCTGAGGTTGTGCCACTGCACTCCAGCCTGGGCAACAGAGTGAGGTTCTGTCTCAAAATAAATATCAGATATTGGCACCACAACATGAATGTACTTCTTACAAATGGTAAATGTTATGTTGTATATATTTTACCACAATAAAAAAATTAAATAAATGCTTCAAATGCTGAGAACCTTTAGTAGTCTTTAGCAGTTCCCACTACCACAGGCTCTTCATCATTACAAATAAGATATTTCAGATGGGTTTTCAGCTCTATTAAGCCATGACATACAGTTTTCTGAAGCTAACAGATTTAAGAATTTTATTTATATTTGCTGAAAGGGTTCTCCCTTTCTTTTTTTTTTCTCTTCTTATTTTTTGCTGATTTATTTATTTTATTTTTATTTTTATTTATTTGAGTTGGAGTTTCTCTCTTGTTGCCCAGATTGGAGTGCAATGGTGTGATCTCAGCTCACTGCAACCTCTGCCTGCCAGGTTTAAGTGATTCTCCTGCCTCAGCTTCCCAAGTAGCTGGGATTACAGGCATGCGCTACCATGCCTGGCTAACTGTTGTATTTTTAGTAGAGATGGGGTTTCTCCATGTTGACCAGGTTGGTCTCAAACTCCTGACCTCAGGTGACCCGCCTACCTCAGCCTCCCAAAGTGCTGGAATTACAGGTATGAGCCACTATGCTCGGCCTTTTTTCTCTTTTTTGGAGACAGAGTTTCAATGTGTCATCCAAGCTGGCTGAAGGGCAGTGGTGTAATCATAGGTCACTGCAGCCTCGACCTCCCAGCCTCAAGTAATCCTCTCACCTCAGCCTCCTGAGTAGCTGGGACAACATGTATGCAATACTATATTTTTGTAGCTTTTTAAAATTTAATTTTTAATTTTTGTGGGTACATAATCAGTTTATATATTTGTGAGGTACATGAGATGTTTGACATAGGGATGCTAGGTGTAATAATCACATCATGAGAAACGGGGTATCCATTCCCGCAGATATTTATTCTTTGTGTTTAACGTAATTCAACACAAATACTTTTTGTGAAAAATACTCTTTCGGCAATTTTTAAATCTACAATCAAATTATTTTGACTATAGTCATCCTGTTATGCCATCAAATACTAGGTATTAGTAATAACATCATGGAGAATGGGTTATCCATCCCCTCAAGCATTTATCCTGTGTGTTTCAAGCCATCCAATTACACTCAGTTATTTTAAATTGTACAATGAAGCTATTGACTACAGTCACCCTATTATGCTCTCAAATAGTTGTAACTTTTGTAGAGGCAGGGTTTCACTTTTGCCCAGGCTGGTCTTGAACTCTTGGGCTAAAGTAATCCTCCTGCCTTGACCTTCCAAAATGTGGAATTACAGACAGGAGCCACCATCCCCAGAGGAAGAGATCTTTTAGACTTACTGAGATATGCTAAAGCTTTTAAATATTTTGCATACACATAAAGAAAAAATGCAAGTGGACTACGCCATCTTAGGCAGATTTCATGACTTTTCTAAGTTTCAATTTAAATTGGTTATGAGATTCTTACAACATATTCACAGTCAGAGTCCACTCTTTGGACTCTCTCTTTGACTCGCTCATCACTGACTGTGTTTTCTCATCAATTGCCATTCTCTGTACTTCCATTTGTTTTTGAGGTACTGTTATTTATGACCTCACTATTTTCTTCAAGATTTTCATCTTAACTCTGATCCTTATTCTGCAAGTTGTGATACCTGTCACTTCATTAATCTTATCAGGAGATATCAATAGGTGTTTTTCTTATGACAACAGGACGTATGCCCTTTCTCAATGGTCCTTTGATGGTAGGTTGATTGAAAACTTCGAGATTGCAGTTGTCCAGTCTTACTAACAGCAATAACAACTATATAGCTTTTGGTAAGTTTATTTTTAAACACAGCTAATGAATGTCCACTATCTAACTACAATGAAAAAACTGAAATAATGGCAAATGTTAAAAAGGGATTGTGCCTGTTTCAGATAACAATAGCCAGTCCATCAGCTCAGTCAGTATCCTCCATTTGTGTGTGTGTATGTGTGTGTGCACTTGTGTGTGCATGCACATACGGAATAACATTTTGGGGAGACATTCTTCAGAAATATTTCAAAGTCAAAACTTCAACACCAAAGAAATGTTTGGTCATTGGCAGCTATGCACAGCTTCACAATGATAGCATTGCCTTTCTTCATCTATGTTCATCATATTCGCTTTTTAGTGTCCTTAGAATTGACAGGGTTATTATGAGACATTTTAAAGAACTTCAAGATTCACTGGCTTATTCTACTTAACTATACTTATATTTATTGTTTTCCTCAGTTGAATCACATGTTGCTTAATGTAAAAATGCTACTATTCAATTAGCTGAAAATTTCTGGCAAGCTGCCATCAAACGCCTTAAAGATAGTCCTGTGCTACCATTGAATTAGTCACACAAGCTTCTCGTTTGTTTTGATATTTCATTCATCTATTCTGAGATATACAGTAATGTTCTTTACCTGGGGTTGCATTGCTTTTTATGTAATAGTCAATGTTTTTACAAACATCTCAGTAATAAATATGTGAATATCTCGTATGTTTGGATCTCATTAAAGTTTTGGTTGTTCTTTACAAGAAAATATGTAATTGTGTTCATTACTCCTCTAATGAATATGTGCTTCATTAATATCAAGTCTACGCCCCACTGCTCTGTTTTCATGCCCTTCTAAATACACAATAACATATTGTTTCAATGCCTAATCACAGAGTAATCTTTTTGATGACATTTTTAGCAATGTCCATAACTCAACTTAAGTGACAATATGAATAGCTGTAATGGAGTTCCCACATGTGCTGGAAATAACAATTCCATCAAGATTTAGCCAGCAGTGACTGTAAGTTGCCCTCAGCTATTAAAATGTTAGAAAATATTGTGCCTTATAAACAATAAAATATTGTTGATTCCTAGAAAATTCAGCGATTTTCTACTCTAAAATTTACTACTCTAAAAATTCTTTATTTTTTTCTCAACTGACAATTTCACCCATTTACTTCTTTCTCACTCGATGAGTTCCCTTTCTACATTACTTAGAGAACAGAGGTGTTATAAGTAAGTTACTTATGTGCTCACATGTTTCATCCAGCCTTTGTTCCTTTGCTTACATCTCAAAGGCAAATATATTCTTTTTCCTTTCCAGGGATAAACACTCTCTTTTGCTCTTTGACTGACAAATTTATGTACATAGATAACACTCCAGGTGACTGATGTAGGTAGCTGTAGGTAGCTTCCAGATCAGTTTAATACATAATGGTGCTATTATCTTTCCACTGAGAGCTTTCATCTTGTTATAAGTATATACAGGAGGCAACATAAGTTTTCTGTTCCTTTTGTTCCCTTCCTTTAAATTAATCAATATTAGTAGAGAATCGTTTGTCTTTTGCATGTTGCACTCAAAAGAATACAGATGTTCTAAACTATACTAAACTGAGGACAGGATGAAACTTTAAAACAAGAATATTCGTTTCCTTAACTGCAAAATATTCTATTGACTTTGATCCTTTGAGGGTGAGAAGAATGGGAAAAAAGATGAAAAAGAGAAAAATCTGTGAATGATAAAAGGTAAAAGTCCTTCTGGGCACCCATCTAAGGCTAGTGGAGTATGGACTAAAAGGAGCCCTGAATAAAACCTAATACACTCTCTTACCTTTCTCCATAGCTATATGTGTTTGAATCTACTAATTAAAAGAGGGCTACTGGAGTTATCCACACCACCAGATGTCGTAAGGCGTATTGGTGAGGTTATACTTTATTTCAAGTGTCTTGGAAACTATCTATTTCATTTTACTCTCAGAATTTTGAAATATGTTATATCCTTGCTGCTTCCACTTTCTTGTCCACCATCACTTGATGTTTAACTCGATGCATTTTGACTTTATTCCTCTATATTAATAAAACTGCAATTCTGAAGGTCATCAGTTATAATCACAAAATAAAATATCTTGTTCTCCATTTCATACTTTTTATACACTCTGTAAGATGTTTAAGAGTTTTGACTACTCATCCTTGAAATTCTGTTTCCTTCTGAATTTCCTAACACTAAACCACGATGGTTTAACTTACTTATTTGTGTTTTTTATTTTTCTTGTAATAAGCTCAAAGTTTACAAAAGGAAGAAACTAAGAGAGGTTGGTAAAAGAATTGGTCTATTGAAAGAAATATCCTACCAGAAAGTCATACAAAGAAATCAATTTGGAAACATACAACTTTTCAACTTTGCATTTCCAAACTGATTTTTCTTTAATGCATGGTAAAGAAGTTAAGACAAAAATGTATTTATCAGGTAATACAGAGTAAGAAATAGTCTCTCAGGCATTAAGACAAGAAAGTGAGCATGTTTTCTTTCTCCCATATGCAAAAGGACATTTAGTAACAAACATGCTTTCAGAAATCACGGAGGTGATTTCTTGATTCACAATAATTTCTCTCATAACTGGATATAACCCATTACTTGGTAGCTACATCTGTACTCACTACTTTGTATTCTGAATGTACCTGAATCACAGGGGTAGACATTTGACCCAAATTAAGGATACAGATTTGCTAACCTTGGCATTAGACATTTACAAGGAAGTGGCACAAAGGTTTGCTGGGCATTTTATCTGGGTCCTGCTAATAAATGTCAATATCTAGAGAAAAAGAGGAGTTCCTCCAAGTGCTTAGAGTTGCCCTAGTTGCTGCTCTTCAGCTATAAAGCGCAATGACCAATCTTTTAATTAATGTCTAATTCAATAATAAATACTGCATAAACATGCAGAGAGAATCTAGCATTATCTGATCCCTCATGTGACAGCTACTGAAACACTCCGTAGGGGAAGGATGTGTTTTTCTCCTTTGCTGTTCTTCACAGGTTTTGGCATATAAAGTTAAATCACATGAAGATTTTGGTAATTAAATATTGTTAGAAAATGTTTCTCTTTTCAGGTTAAATGCTTCATAGTGTTTCATCATAAAGTTAACTCATTTTTGTATCTCTTAACCATTTGTTTTCCTTACTGTCTTGGCTCAGAGAATGCTTGTATATTCAGAGTTACTTTTTATTTTCTATTCTTTACAACACACCTGTGAGTTAACAAAATATGATTATTCATACTGTACAGATGGTGGGACTAAGGTATAATGCCATCTAAAAGCTTAATAGCAGAGTTGAAACCAGAATTTATGATTCCCCAAACCTCACGTAGAGCAGTATCTTCTGTGATATCCCTGCCCTCTCTTTAATGTTCATGAACAAAAGGCTGCATATAATTTTAATTTCAAATCAAAATGCCAACTACATTTTCAAAATGGGTTTGGTCTTTCATTTCAGTGCACTATAGTGTATTAAAATAAAGATAATGTTATCAATTATCTTATCAGATCAGGTTACCAAAGATTTTATCTTGTAAAGGTATTTCCTTTTTTCAGGCTTGATCATAAATATAATGCCAATTCATTTTTTATCATCTTAGTTTATTTTAAAATTTTTTTATTTGCTTTCCTTAAATAATCAGAAACATAATTCTTGGCTGATTTTAAAAAGTATTATCTTCTGTATTATGCATAAGTTTAATTCCTTTCTTGATTGATTTTTTATTTGGGGGACGTTTATTGAAAGCAAGCAGTGATTTCTGGTAGAAATAACATGTTGAAAACAGCATGTGCTATAAAGTACAGTGCTCAATCTTTTAATTAAGGTTTAATTCAATAATAAATACTGCATAAACTTACAAAGAGAATCTAGCATTATCTGATCCTTCATGTAACAGATAATGAATGTGTTTTTCTCCTTTGTTGTTCTTCATAGGTTTTGAAATGTGCATAAAGTTAAATCATATGAAAAATTTGGTAATTAAATATTGTTAGAAAATGTTTCTCTTTTCAGGTTACATGCTTAACCCTACATGCCACGTTTGGAAACCTGCCAGATTAATCATTCATAGTAAATCACCTCCTATCCAAGAAACATGGAAATTCAAATTAAATGTATTTTATTACTGATAAAGAAAGGAAAAGGAAGAAAAATAATTTGGACTGATATACTTTTGTTCCTATTTATAAAACAGATATACCTCAATATTTAAAAACAGATATTTTTTCAAAAAACTAAGTACAGAAAGAAAAGGTATTGGCTTACATATGTATTTTATCAATTCCTTTTCTTCTAGGGCCAATTTTGGAGAAACTTGGTTAACTGAACACATAGGATAATATCACAATTAATTTACCATAACTCAGATCATAATAAATTTTTGCTACATTTATCATTTAAAATTAAGATTTCTTAAGGGATTTTCAAAGTTTAGTTTGCCATTCGTGTTGTTTTGACTTTTTTTTTCCTGTCAGTTAATGAAGCACAGGGGCTAACCTAATTCATATGATTCCCATCTGTCATCTCTGCAGCAGTGAAGAAATCCAAAACGAAATTCCATTCTTCATTCAATTCCTGTAACTTGATATTAGTCAGGTAATCAAGCACAGCTCCTGGACTCTTGTGTTTCCATATGAGGAAACTAAGGTCAAGTGACTTGCCCTGGGTTACACAGCAAGACATCATAAGACCAGGGAACAGATCCAGTAGCCTTGGACTTTCTCAGACGTTTCCGAGACCACTGAACCATACTACCTTCCAGGTAACTGACTTTTGTAACATCAAGTGAGCCACATCTCTTTTTCTTTGTTAGCAGAAATCTTTTCTTTCTCTTTCTTCTTTTAAACAGGCATGTAGAAATGCTGTTCTCTATTTAGTGTTTCTGGTAATTATCTTCAAGAAAATCAGAACACAAATTTAAAGTACTCATTAACATGCTGATTAGGAACTTCTCTCAAAGACCCATAGGCTGGAAGAGACCCCTAGAGATTATCTGATTCAGCCCTTGTCTTCAGGCATGTTTCACCTAAACAGTTTCGGGCAGATGGAAAACTATATTTATGACCCCAAAGGAGAGAGTCCCCAACCTCCCTTGATAACACAACCTTGAGCTTAGATCTGCTCTTCTACATAATGGGTTATATGCAAAATATAGAAAAAGAATCTGCCCTCTTTTGTAATGTCAGATATTACTAATATGACGAAGATTATCTGTGTATGTTTGTTTTCATATATCTTCTTATCTGACCAATATTTCTGATTCTATGCAAAAGTCTTCCTAGTCATTCTTTTATATAAAACCTGTTCTGATTAATTTTTAAATTTAAAATTATATCCTCAAAGATACTGGATGTCTCTCAAATTTTAATTGAGTTCAAGTGTCTGTCTTTTTATTTTTATGCTTTTCTGATTTTGCAATGAAGAATGTATCCCACAGAAATACTAGTATTTTTCTCCCAATCCCTGCCCCTTCACCCTAACCAGGATAACTTCAGACTGGGTTTGAGAGAACAGTCAGAACTCAAAACTATTTTTCACAGCTTAGAGATTGTATGAGGAGCTGGGTGCATGTGCCCATCATGACTTGTCCATGGTAATTGCCTTCCTCATTTTCTAATTTTCTTAGCAGACTGTGTTTCGGGCTACAAAATGTGATCATGATCCCAATCCCATTTCTGCTTATGTTTTTTCAGGGACTGATCTCATCTCAGTCCAATTAAGCTTCAGTCCTAAAATAATTTTCTGTTTTCATTAAAGTCCTACTATCTTTGTAGTAATGAGTGCATTTCCAAATCTCCACATTGAATGACAGGAATATTTAATAGGGGAAAAAAAAGGTTCTTAGCCCAAATGTATATAACAGAATAAGTTTTCCCAAGAGGCTGGCCTCAGATATTTACACAATCAGCCTCAGTAAACTACATAAATTATACCCTGGGCACTGAAGGTGGAGGGCACATCCTGGCATTTCTTCATATGCCAAATATCTGAATGTATCAACAGTTTGTAGAGATTACTGAGAGCTCACCTTCTAGATCGTCTCTCCTCTTCTTTATTTTTGTTGCTTTATTAAGACAGATTTATAGTACAGGACAAGCATTGGCTTGAAAGCTGGATCAGGTGGGTTGCTAGTTGTAGACCTTCTGCTGACAAAGAGGTGTGCAATTCTACGAGGTGTGGCAGTTCTTTGTTATGTGTCCTGATACACCTATTAGTAAAATGCAGTGCTTATAATAGATGACCTCTAAGGGCCCTCTAACCTCGAAAATTTTAGCATATGTAAATGAACAAATGCATAAATGAATGACGATATACAATTATTGAAAATGTATTTTTCTGCCTAGTTGTCCTTTTACAATACAAATTGAATGGTGTCACTCAAATATGCATTTTTACAATGTATTTTAAAATTTATTTCTATGGGTAGTTCAACTAAATTATTGAATTTATTAATTACATCTATGTTTTTTATTTAAAAAAAAACTTTTTTTTCAGTCTGTCACCCACACTGGAATGCAATGACATGGTCTCGGCTAACTGTAACCTCCAGTTCGGGATTCCAACGATTCTCCTGCCTCAGCCTCCCAAGAAGCTGAGGGACTACAGACATGTGCCACACTGCAGGGCTAACATTTGTGTTTTTAGTAGAGATGGGGATTCACCATGTTGGCCAGGCTGGTCTCCGACTCCTGATCTCACAGGATCTGCCTGCCTCGACCTCCCAAACTGCTGGGATTACAGGAGTGAGCCACTGCACCCAGCCCAAATGTATTTTAATCATAAACTAAATGTGATTGAGTTCTTTTTACTTAATATGACAAATATGTATTGGATCCTTAGGTGCCAGACATGTGGAGGTTAAAAGAAAAAGTCAGTCAATCATTGAAACATTTAAAATGGGTTGATGGTTAATACCGTGAATGCAGCTTGAGTCCCAAATTAAATGTCAATTAAGCAAAATTTGTAGGCTGGATGCAGTGGCTCATGCCTGTAATCCCAACACTTTGGGAGGCTGCAGTGAGAGGACTGCTTGATTTTAGCTTAATGTGACCCATTTCATACTTTTGGCCTTCATAACTATAAAATTATACATTTGGGTTTTTAAGCCACTAAATTTGTGAAAATCTAGTACAGCAGCAATAGGAAAGTAATACAGCATCCTTCTGTCCCCAACTGAGGGACAACATCCTAGAGAGTTGGGAGAAAACAAGGTCTGAACAATCTCTCTTATAAATCAATATCCTGTTCCACCTAAAGTCAAAATTGTACTTAAGGCTCTTCATGCCTCCAAATGCAGCAGATGTTGACATAATAACTGTTGTAATTCACAAAGTCTGTTTTGACATGATAATTCAACTTGCTATTCTGAAGTACAAAGTTAGTCCTCTTAATATAAGGTTCTTTGCTTGTGTGGTTAGTTGTCACATTATTCCTTTTTAACGCTGCTGATAAAGACATACCCGAGATTGGGAAGTAAAAGAGGTTTAATGGACTTACAGTTCCACGTGGCTGGGGAGGCCTCACGATCATGGCAGAAGGCATGGAGGAGCAAGCCACATCTTACTTGGATGGCAGCAGGCAAAGAGAGATAGCTTGTGCAGGGTAAGTCCCCTTTTTAAAACCATCGGAACTCATGAGACTTATTCACTATCATGAGAACAGCATGGGAATGACCCATCCCCGTGATTAAATTACCTCACACCGGCTCCCTCTCACAACACACGGGAATTATGGGAGCTACAATTCAAGATGAGATTTGGGTAAGGAAACAGCCAAACCATATCAGTCACCATCCAAAATAGATTATCCTTATTTTGGTAAAGATCCTATCTTAATACTTCTTTATAACTCTTTATGTAATGTATAAAATAACTAAATATGATTATTGATTGCATTATCACAAGGACACCTAAAAGTTAGTTTCAGATAAAGAGCCATCCTACCACAGGTATAAATACATATTATTGATAAAATTCCAACAAGCTGAATGCTTAGGTCTTTGCTTATGAATAATTACCTTAACATTTTATAATATAAAAGTAATATTCAGATTCAAACTTCTTATTGCATTCTTTTAAAATGGTGGTTAGTAGCCAAAATTATAATTCTCACAAATAAATTATAAACTACAAGTGAGGATAAGCAATTTTCATATTAAATTCTTGAAAATATGATACAGTATACTTCTGGAGTCTGCACATTATATACATTCGGATATTACTTATCGATACTGTTGTGTCTATCAATAAATTCACGGTTATACAGTTTAGACATTCTTGTATTTCCAAATATAAAAATATCTAAAATTATTTTCAAAATTAAGTTTTTTATCTGATCTTAGGCATGTCTGAGCTTCTGAACCACTTCTTGTATATAGGAGAAACAAAGTAAAGTGAAGGTATTTTTTTTAAATAAAGATATATTTTAAATATAATACATTATAGCCCAATTATTGACAATACTTCTAAACAAAATTTGAACTCAGAAATTCAATCACTTATGTAATTTTGTTAGTGACCCCAAGTTGTATGGCTATCTATGGTGTGTTGTAACTTAACTCTTGATGTAGCTCCAATAACTTTATTGGACTTTGAACTTGTTTGGAAGGGATCCATATCTAGTTCAATCTTAGGCTCCTCAGAGTGACTAATTGGCACTCTGCATTTCATATATTAGGTGCTCTATAAGGATTTGTTACATGACTAAATTAAAAAATGTACAGAAGACCACATAAATGTAGCTTGAAATGGTGATTATAAAAAGGCCACCTTATTTGTGTAGAAAACACAATGCCATTGTTTTAGTAAATTATTCATACATAGTAATGAACATCCATCCAGCGCCTCTCTTAATTCCTATTCATTTAAAATATAAAGTGGGATAACTATTTCAGTTTTATTTTATTTTATTGAAGAACCAAATCCATTACTCCCATACTTAAGTTCATTTCTATTTTGTATGGGAGTAGCTCTGCACTTTAGAGTCCTTATTGAATTGAGGAGCAAATGTATACATATGCTCTGTTGTGCCAGGGGGCACAAATTCTGCTTTGATTTACCCATGTGCAACTCCTATTAACACTGTGAGGAATTCAGGGCAAAGTTTATTTTTCAAGAAGGATCATGTTGTTACATATTCCAAATAACACATGAAGTCTTTTAGACTATAAAACCAATGATGTGCAGCCATACACATTTAGGGTACTCATTTAGCTTTCCATTGACTAAGTGTCTGAATAGTCTCACTCATTCTTTATGGCATATAGTTTTAAAAGCAAGATTTGACAAAGAGGGAAATGTGCTGAATTCCTGGAGCTATTAAAGTGTAAAGGCAAAGATTATGAAAAAATCCAAATTTTAAGGCTTACATATTGAAACATGAAAATAATATTCCATGCATTATTTGCTATGAAATATACAAAAATTATGCATGTGTTTAGGGTAATTTTACTTGATTGTTGTCATTTAGTCAGCTAAATTAAGTGCTGCCTACTTGCTCTGAATTTGGATAAGTTGAGAGAAGGGAATGGAGACAAGATGGGAAGATACACGAGGATTTCCTTGTAGTTAACCCTCTCCTGAAACAAGACCGTGTATTCCTCTGTGAGTAAGTGTTGAAAGTAAAAACCTTAGACAGGTCAACACTCTTTACTGTCCTATCCCCAACCACAAACAACCTACCTAGATACCATCACAGGAAAACTGACAAATAGCTTACATTGCTGGTTATAAGGTATAAACACTCAAGGGATCTGTCCTCACATATTCTGGCTTAATACCTTACTCACTGTATAACTTGGGGAAGCCATTTTCAATCTCTGTTGATTGCTTACCTCTTATGGGCTGAATGTTTGTGTGCACCCAAAATTTAAATGTTGAAACATAATTCATATTATGCTAAGATTAAGAGGTGGAGCTTTGGGAGGTGTTTAGATGAGGGCTCCACTCTTAATAGAATTACTGCCCTTACAAAAGAGGTATGAGGAAGCTTATTGATATGGTTTGGCTGTGTCCCCACTCAAATCTCATCTTGTAGTTCAAGATGAGAACTTGAACTTGAACTTGTAGCTCCCATAATTCCCACGTCATGGGAGGGAGCTTGTGGGAGATAACTGAATGATACAGGTGGGTCTTTCCATGCTGTTTTCATGACAGTGAATATGTCTCACAAGATCTGATGGTTTTATATAAAGGATTTCCCCTGCACATCCTCTCTTGCATGCTGCCATGTAAGACGTGACTTTGCTACTCCTTGTTTTCTGGTCATGATTGTGAGGCCTCCCCAGCAATGTGGAACTGTGAGTCCTCTTTTCTTTATAAACTACCCAGTCTTAGTTATGTCTTTATTAGCAGCATGAAAACAAACTAAAACACTTATCCTTTTCTCTAGCCATGTGAGGATACATAGATGATGATATCTATGAAAAAACAACCCCTCACTGGACATGGGACCTGCTGGAGATTTTATTTTGGAATTCCCAACCTCTAGAACTGTGAACAATAAATCTCTGTTTATAAATTACCCAGTCTAAGGTATTTTGTTATAACAGCCTGAAGAGATGAAGTCACTTAAAAGAGATTTTTAGATTTCAAAAATGGTGATTCTGTCATAAGCTTCTATATATCATTAAAAAAATTTTCAACGTTATATAAGTTAATGTTTTATTCTTGATTTTGTATGAGTCATGTAGCATTATGATAGTCACTATAGCATTATTAAACATAAAACAGAATACAATGTAGTTAGTGAAATAGCAAAACAGCTTACAGTATGCTCAAATTTGAATCTATGTGAAACACGAAACAAATGAGTTGAGGTTTATACTAAATCCTTACATAAATACAGAATTATTTATTGACCCTGATCTGGGTTATCTAGATCTCTGCTGTTTATGGAGATAGATGTTAGCTGCTTTTCAGATTATATTTAAATGTGTCAAATCAATAAAAATGTACCATATATATATTTTTTTGTCATTTGGGCATGAAAATATTGAAACATAGGCAATATGAAAATGCTATTGTGTATTAAGTTTCTGTTAAGTATATTTATATTCCAGTAGGAAAATTATTGAAGGACCTGACAAGACATTCTCTCTGAACCCAAGGAGTTTAAGATTGAAGGTGAGGAGAAAAGACCAACAGAAACAAATCTGCACTGAATCCTTCCAATACCACTGTTAAACACATAGTTCTATAACAAGTTAATTCCTATAAAAACAATAGATTTAAGGACAACAAAACCATTTTTAATTATTTGTTTGTCTTTAAGTTCTGGGATACATGTGCAGAACATGCAGGTTTGTTACATAGGTATTCATGTGCCATGATGGTTTGCTGCACCCATCAACCCATCATCTAGATTTTAAGCCCTGAAGGCATTAGGTGTTTGTCCTAATGCTCTCCCTCCCCTTTTCCCACACCCCCCCACCCTGACAGGCCACTGTGTGTGGGTGTGTGATGTTCCCTTCCTTGTGTCCATGTGTTCTCACTGTTCAACTCCCATTTATTAGTGAGACTATGCAGTGTTTGGTTTTCTGTTCCTATGTTAGTTTGCTGAGAATAAAACCATTTTTTTTTTAATTGAAGACAAAGAAATGGGTTAATTTGGGAGGTGGTAGCTGATAGAGTGAAGGTAACTAAGATCAGCATCAGAAAGCCTAAATCTTCCATTTTTGTTTTCTCTACTACAGAGGAGTGAATTTCAAAGTGAATAGATTACTCGAGAAAGCACAAAAGGGTAAGAGAGCTGGGAACAATAACACAGATAGCTAATACCTTTTAAATGGTTATTATGTGCTATAGTGTGAATGTACCCCCACGAAACTCATATGTTGAAACTTAATCACCAATGTGATAGTGTTTAGAGGTGGGACCTTTAGGATATGATTAAGTCACGAGGGTGGAGCCCTCATGAATGGGATTAGCTTCCTTTATAAAACAGGTGTGAGGGAGCTGCCTACTGCCCTTTGACCCTTCTGTCCCTTCTGCCATGTGAAGATACAGCATCTCTTTCTTCTGGAGGATGCATCAGCAAGGCACCATCATGGAAGCAGAAAACTGCTCTCACCAGAAACAAAACCTCTGGGTTCCTTGATCTTGGACTCCCCAGCCTCCACAACTGTAAGAAAAAAATTTCTACTGTTTATAAATTACCCAACTTGGTATTTTGTTGTAGCTACCCAGAGGAACTAAGACGGTATGTGTCAAGCATGACTTTGTGTGTTTAACACATTAACTCATTTAATCCTGGCAACAGCTATTAGGTTGGTGCAAAAGTAATTGTAGTTTTTGCCAATTACTTTTGCACCAATCAAATATATGAAAGGTAGGACTAATGTTATCTCTTACATATGTGATGAAACAAACATGGAAAGCTTCAATGAATTGGCCCAGGTTTAAAACTCAAAAGTCACAGAATAGGTTACAGGCCTGAGTAGTCTGTGTCCAGAATCAGCACTCTCCAATGTGATGCTAGCTTTCTTCAAAAGCTGAGCAAGTGGAAGAATGCACCCGTTCAAATGATAATCCAAGGTACCAAAATGGTAAACATTTCAGTTTCAGAGGGGGAAACTAGGTTATGAAATACCACAGAAAACAAGATTTCAGTGTATCCTGCCCTTTCAATAAGAAGTGGTATATTAATACAAAACATATACAGGCGAATGCGGACACGAACTAATCCGAATGGACTTCAGCTAGACTGGTACAATCAGGTGAATATCAGCCTGCTTCAAACTATGGGAGAAAAAGCTATTAGAGTAATGAGTTTAAATAGTAAGTATTTCTATTTTGTCTTTATTGTAATGAACAAGCCCTGTCGTTACCTCCTGCTGTGCACTTTTGGAGGGTCTTCCATATGGTTGCTGCTAAGCATTTTGGCATTTTCCCAACTGTTACAATTGGGTCAGTGGGGGGGATTGTACAGGAGTAATAAAACAAGGGTGACTGCAGCAGGGAGGAGTACGATCACTACACACACAACAGCCTATTGCCTCTCATGCGTTGAAGCTCAGCTCCATGCCATTCGTTACAACAGACAGCCAGGGCAAACTGCCACAGAGCTCACTCCAGAAAGGGCCAGGTCTTGAGCGCAGAGACTAAATCTCCTCATTTACATTTCTTCCTAATGTTTCCTTACTTCATCTTCCCATATTGACAATAACTTGAGGAGGAACAAAAAATTATTTCTTGCATATTACTACGTCATTCTTAAGACAGTTTCTTGAACAGACTCAGCTAACTTTTGGCGGCAGCGGCATTATCAGTGGCTATCACGGCTTGGATATCTCAGGAGGGGAAAACATGGGAAAGGCTGGCCTGATTATCATAAATACTCAATAATTCCTGAGACATGATTCATAAATCCAGAAGTCACTAATAATATTGACACTATTGTTAGACTGTCAATATTATTAGTCACTTCTGGATTTCTTCCATATCAGAGATATTTATGAAAAAAAATGCTACTATTATTTTACCCTGTGGAAGGCAGTGTTAAACAGTAGACTGAGAGCGCGTATACAGGTACACACGCATAGACTGTATTTTCCATATTTTACACATGCAAGGATTCTTTAAATAATTAGTTACATTTTTCCTTTAACATGGTATGCAGTTTTTCACATCAAGCCCAAATACAGGAATTCTACTAGCAGGATCACAGTACACCCATGACAGTTTCTGATTTTACAAGAAATCAAGAAACAGAGTTGGAGACATTTAGACCAGCATACAAATCAGTGTGGATTCTTTTTTGTTTGTTTCCAGCCAAGAACCTTAAACAAAAAGTGTAGCATGACGACACTTCCCTTCGTCCCCGAGTCCCCCCAACTCTAGACAATGGATCCCCGGAGAGCTACACCGGGCCGTCGGAGTCCGGGGCCAGGGGCGGCCGGGGAGCGGCTCGGGGCTCTGCACGGGTGGGCGCTGGGAGGTTGCCAAGCCAGTCACTGACGAAGGGCCCGTGAACTCCAGGGACCAGCAACACCGGCTACGGAACTCAGCGTTCCCGCCAGTTCCTAGACTTGAGTAAAAACAAACGACAACAACAAAAAAATTACCAACAGCAATGGGACGGTCATAAATCAACTGGGAGTGGGTGCAGGCGGTTCCGGGACAACCCACACTTAGTCTAGGAGTCCGGAGAACCCTCACCCAGCTTCCCCCGGCGCAAGGGGTGACGCGCTCAGCAAGGCTGATCACTGTCCTCAGTCATCACCGAACCCGCGCACAGAAGCCGCGGACCCCGCCCGCGGTCTCGCACGCTCTCCTACCCCCGCCAGCCCGGGACTCGCCCCACCGCCAGTCCGCGCTCAGGAGGAACTGGCAGGCGCCGAGGTAAAAGGGGCAGCGGCTTCAAACTCCGTGGTGCGCAGGCGCGAGCGCACAACGCGCAGGCGCCGCCTAGAGGTGACTTCTCCGAAAAGTGTCTTAGTTCCCGGTCACCTGAGCTCCGGGTGACGCGGCTGCGGTAGTTGCGGATACCCGCCTTCCGCGGTGTCGCTCAGCTCCGCCACCCCGACCCCACTAAGGGCCTGTGCTTTTCCTCCAGTCCTTCCCCAGCGTCGGGCCGGATCGGGCCGAGCCGGGCCGCCCGGGCGCGGTCTTTAACCATGGCGTGCCTCTTCAAGAAGAAAACCGTGGATGGTGAGTTCCGGGCGCGGCCGAAGGGGCCCAGCTCTGGGTTTTCCCGGCGTCTTTCGGGGTCTGCCGGCCGCGGTTCTGGCTGCTGTCCCTGGAGGCGGGGCTGGATTAAGTGGTCCCACAGGTGACCGCCCTTTCTGCGCCACTTCTCTGCCTCCCTCTTGCTTCTGACTCAGCTCACCTTAGGCTCACCAAGGCAGTCTGGTTGCTTCCCTCCCCTCACACTGCCCGCACCCTCGGGTTTTCCTCAGCAGGGTCCTGAGCGTTTCGAGGAGGCCAGCGGGGTACTGCTGGCCCTGAGTGCCATTACACTTGGAGATCTGATGGATTTCTTGGTTGCCTCTGCTTGGATTGTTGCTCTTCATTTGGGCGATGTAATACTTGTAGGCATCCAGACAGGAAACCTTCAGTCTCAGAATGGAGTGAGGAGGGGATAACAGGCTCCAGTTAGGAAATGAAGTTGGGTCTGGGTCGGTTGCTTCAAGAACACCCCATCAGTGGAGAGATGTGAAACAAATGCTTTCTTGATTGACCCCAGTAGAAAAATAAACCCAAGGGACTTGCCCAGATTTAGTTTTCATAATGGATTTTTTCTCCCATATGATTATCTTTTGCCAACTAAAGTAAGTGATGGGGTATATATTGTCTTCATAGACGTTTAGCATGTAAAGATAATTGGCGTTGTTTCCCCGATTTAGCTTAATATCACCTTAAAAGGAGAAAAAAGTGGATGTAAAGGAATGTACAAGTTTTATGGTACTCATCTGCGATGCCTATAATGTGTTTATATAACACATGATATTTTCATTGACTGCTACCATGAATTAAATTCATTCAAGTTATTTAAAAATTGTGTTCCCCATTGTACGTTTAGTCTAGGTTTTTGCTGGTTCAACCAAAGAATCACTTCTTTGTAACTGTCTAATTCTGCCACAAAAGGAGCAGTGGTAGCTAGACAGTGATTGGTACAAATAGGGTGCTCAGTCCAGACCTGGAAGTAACTCCTTCATTCCTTTGTGTTGACTCTTCCAATGCCAGCAAAATTATTTTGGGAGGATAACAAAGAAGCTGTCTCTGCCCTGCTGCTCTATTCTTCATTGCAACACATAATGCCACTTTATCTTTGATTTATCACATGACATAATACATTTTTCCATAATCTGGGTGATTGAACTTTTTTTCTGATTTATTGACTTTTTATTAAGAAGTACCATTTCCAATACCTGGAATAACTACTAACTTGATATACAATGTGATACAATTATGTGAGATGGATTTTATGTGTGCTTTTCAGGAGAATGCTGCTTAATCTTTAATATGGCACTTTATTTTTTCAGTGTTTTAGCCACCACTGTTGTGAGCTTCACTTATTTTACAGTACTCTAGGGAGTGGGGGTGGGGGAAACGATTTATTTTCTTGTTGCTCGAGTTTTATATAGTTAAAATTTTTTTGTTGTTTAGTTTTCTATGGTGAGAATTTGCTAAATGGAAGAAAAATGGTTTCGTCTTCCTTACTGTGATGCTACAGTTAGAGTTATTTTTTTTTTAACAATAAAAGCCAAACATTCTAGTTTTAATTACTTAATACCTGTCAAATATTTTCGAAGACCTAAATCTCAGTTATGTGCTTTCTGGTGCTTTTGGAAATCTAGTGACTATTGTACTTGAAGTGTAGAGGAGAGGAAAAAAAAAAAAGACAGTGGGGGTGTGCAATGAGTGTTTAACTGTATACTCATTTGCAGTTAATTCTTCCAATAAATAACGTTTTGCTGAATAGTCTTATTTGTAAAAATCTTAAAGACTTTTGCTAGGAACTATGCCACTAAATTAACTATATGTGCAATTTCCAAATTTAAATTTGGCCAGCAGGTACATTTATTATAAACTACCAAGATGCATACTTGATGTTTTCTTACATTATCGTGTCATTTCCAATCATTTACTGACATCTTAATAAATAGATCTGTATTTTCATTATTTTGATATAGAGCTTTACTTTTTTCACGTCCTGTTTTATTGAAAGGAAGGTTTTTTGTTTTGTTTTATCTAAAAGATGACAGCATTCTTCTTGGTAATGAGGCTGTATATTATGAATATGAAATTTAATGTATTTTTATTTCTTTACCTCTGATCCTTGGATTGATCATGAGCTCTTTTATTGTATGCTGACTTTTAAATCCATTCCAGCAGTAATGAAATTCTGATATATAAGTAACTGCCTATAGGTCTGGGGAATAATTGAATCTTTTTTCTGTTTGGATTGGCTGGAAGAGTTATATACTGTATCATTAAAGACTACTGCACGTGTAAATTAAAAAGGAAGACAACATTACAGCACTTATTACTATTCAGAGTTAGGTTTAATTCATTTTTGACACAAAGATGAACAAATCTGCAGTGTATGCTTTGCTAAAGAAATTAATGAGAGGAATACCTCAAGAGAAGAGAAAGACTCTTTAGAATTTGAAATTACAGTTGACTACTACTTGGATTTCCTTTTGCCTGTGTAAGGATGTACATATATATAGTGTAGTATGTTTATCTGCAGTGTGGTTTTTTTTTTTTTCCTCCTTTGTAGACTAATAGTGACCTATTTAGGGAAGCTGATTATGAACCTGTAAATCAGGATCCCACTAGGACTTGTCATAAATGCACAACTAAAAATGACTTAAAAGTGAAGTTCTTGGCCGGGCATGGTGGTTCACGCCTGTAATCCCAGCACTTTGGGAGGCCTAGGCGGGTGGATCACCTGAGGTCCTGAGTCGGAGACCAGCCTGACCAACATGGAGAAACCCTGTCTCTACTAAAAATACAAAATTAGCTTGACGTCATGGCACATGCCTGTAATCCCAGCTACTTGGGAGACTGAGGCGGGAGAATCGCTTGAACCCGGAAGTCAGAGGTTGGGGTGAGTCTAGATCTCACCATTGTACTCCAGCGTGGGCGACAAGAACAAAATTCCGTCTGAAAACAAAAAGTGAAGTTCTTTAAGCACTATATAATTTTTGTCTTTTAACCTCAGTAAAGACAAATTTGACTAAACCAACACAGTGCTAAGCCTTGTGCATGCAGTATCTTATTTCTCATAAAACTCATAAGTACTCATGTCATGTCCTTATACAATGAGAAAAGCAAAGGATTAAGTCATGTGTTCAAGATTATACAGCTATTAAGTGTCAGAGCTAGGACCTCATCCCTTTGAGTATTATTATTACTTTTTTCTTATTAGAGATTGATAGATGACACAGTTTAATTTTGCTCCTCTTATCAAGCACATGGAATTCTCAACTTTTGGTAGCTACCATGCAACGTTTACATTCTTTCTAGATCCAGAATTTCGTTTTGAAATTAGTGGTAGAACTTGCTTTCTAATGGTGGTGGAACTGAAAATAACCCATCCCCTGGACAGAGCATTTCTTCAGAAGTGTGGTCAGTTTTTTTCTGCTTTTCATCTAAACTGTTTGAAGGAGTAGTGATGTCTTAACTCCACTTCTTTACTTAACAGACTGCCTCCCCCACCTTATAGCAGTTTGTCTTGCATGGCATGTAATGGGATGTTGACTAGATGATCAGTAACTTCTAGGCTGTCAAATCTAATGGCCATTATTAATGATCATCTCTTGGGCCTATGTTTTGCATTTCATCCTGATAATTTATTTTCGGAAGTTCTGTCTCTTAACTTCTAAGACATATAGCACTGTCTTAATTTTCCTCAAATTCCTCTGACCACTCCTTTTCTTTCTTCTTTTTGGTTTTTCTTTTTTCTTTCTTTTTCTTAAACCTACCCCTTATATGTTGGTGTTCTTCTTGGTTCTATCCTGCGCTGCCATTGCTCTAACTGTATTCTCTTCCTGCATGATCTTATTTACTCCTGTTATAATTATAACTTAAGTACTGGTAGATCCCAAATTTGTGTCTCTAGATGTATTTTTGAGTTTCAGGCCAGATGTCTGGCAGTTCGCTGAATACCTCTACCTAGGTGTCTCACAATATCTCAAACTTGAGATCCCAAATAGAATTCATCATCATATCCTTTGAGTTCTCCTCTTCCAGGGTTGGTAGTGCTTGGTGTTGCCCTCTACCATCAACTAATTACCAGGTCCTGCTTCTTTTACTTCTTAAATATTGGACACATAGGATCTCCCTCTGTGTGACTGCAACTCTTTTCTCTAATTCAGATCCTACTTACCTTGTACTGTACTATATCACCTTTTCGCTTTTCTTTCCTGTAGCTTCACAGCCCCTAAATCCTTCATCCATAAAGTTGGGTATGTGATTGAAACTTGAACCCAAATCTGGCTATGCTTCTCCTCAGTGTAAACCTGTTTATGAAGTCTCTGACACCAACAGGATCCACTGTGAGTGTTTTAATACTGCATGTTTGGCTCTCCTTGAACTAGCCCTTCCCTTTCTTTCTAGCCATGTCTCTGGGCATTTTAGTATCCCACAGCACTGTTCTATTCATTGGTATCTACCATACTCTTTCTCACCCTGTCATATTTTTGCTTATAATGTCCTTATGCCTAGAATTCCTTTTTTCTCTTCCTCTAGCTAACCTGAACTATCCCAGGTTTATTTCTTCTTGAGTCTGTATTAAGTACTTCACTCCTTGAGTTCCCCTTTTGTAGCATTTCTTTCTAACTTGGATTCACTAGAACTGTAGTAGACCCTCCTGCACTTTCAAAGTTGAATGATGCTTATTCTGAGTCTCTTCCACATTCCATATTTGTAAGGGGTTTCAGAGTCTTCAGCAGAAATGAAAATATATCTGCAATAGTTTCTAATTTAGAGATTAAGTCTCTAAAATAATACCATTTACTCACCAAAGTAGTATTTCTAACATCCAGGGCTTAGAATAGTCTACATCCACAGTTTGCCACCCACTGTGAACTTTAGTGCAAGTTAGAGATAATTTGAAGAACACTACAGAGAGAAGAGGAGCAAAGCTTCTTGTCTTTTGCCTCTTTGGGATGCTATTTATATATGCTAGCTGTCCAAAGTTCGGAAAGTGTGAGGTTTTGACGAAGTTGGGATAAATCACCCGTCAATAGATAGTTGTGATGCCACATTTCTAATGTTAAAAGGAAATGAAACGGAATACCTTTCAGAAACATTTCTTCTGTCTTCCAGAATAAAATACACCATTCTCATGGTGGTACCTGCAGAACTCAGATGTTTCCCAGGATGCAGTGTGTCCCTATAGTGCTCCTTATTCTGAATATTTAAAAACATCAAGTTTTACTTTCTACTTAACCCCTACATTATTGACATACCAAAGAAGAATAATTGAACATGAGATTCAGGAACACAGTATACTTTTCTGAGCATTTTCTTAGAAAAACATTCTCCCTACTTTCAGAACAGATATTTCTGTAGGAAAAATTTGTTCCCTCTGTATTTCTGCATCCCAGCATGACTCCAAAGACAGACTTTTCCTTTCCTGCTACCATTTCCTGTCTTCAGGCCCATTGGCCTGTGAGGCTTTTCTTCCAGGGCACATTCCCTCTTAATTCTCTCATTTAAGCTGAAAAATACACTTTGACAGTTTTCTGAACTGAAGTTTTATTGATGGTGTTGCTAATGCCTTTGTCTTTGAGGACTAAATGAGACTCAAAGGTCTGCTGACATGTGCCCATCTCTAAACCTTCTTTTAGCTCTTGAAAACACTGCCATTTTGATAATAATAAATTTGTTCAGATGAATTCCTCAGGGCTTGAGTGACTTGAGAGTTACTAGTAGGAAAATTCATTTTTGCTACCACTTATGCTGCCATATGAGTTGGCTTGACTGTCGCCTTTTCTCTTCAGTATTTTGCCTCTCCCAAGTCCTGCTGTTTTTCAACTTAAACCTGATTCTTAGGTTGGTTGACTCCCTTGACCATATATAGGTAGAATAAAGCTGTAGCCATGATTCCCCTTTGTTCTTTCTGTTTTCTATAGTTACGTTTTGTTTTCTTTTTACCATGTATTAAAACTGGTTAGTTAAACTGATAATATTTGTCCCTGAGTTTCTGAAATACTATTCCCAAAACCTGAGAAGCAAATTTGGTTTGCATATCAAATTCTAATTACTTCTCACCCACTCTGACTGTCATTTTCCTTCTGCGTCTGAGTAAATCTTGTTCCTAGAACCAGCACTCTCTAGATAGTGACCTTTAATGTTTCCTTTTAATGCCTTAGTTTTTGAGTTTGTAGTATTTTTGCAGTTTTTTCTCATCAACCCAAGAAGATGAAACATCTTCACATAGCCAGAACCTCTTTTTACTTTACTGTTCATTGGCAAGCTTCATCATGCCTAGTTAGCTCAACTCACACTCACTCTGGGCTTTTCTTGTATCCATCGCACGATTAGAGTTTATCCAATTATATTACCAGTGTCACAATGCCCACTGTTCCCACTGATACCAGCTGTTACAGAGCTTGCTGGTAAAGTTTAAAGTAGAAGCTACTACTTCTCTGGATATCTTGATAACTTAAAACCAGTTAATGGAGATTGTAAAGTAGGATATGAGAACATTTTGATCCTTCTCACTTCATATTTTGATTAGGCTTAGAGTAACTGATAGGCAATAAAAATCACATAGATGAAAATGTATTTTATCAAAAGAAATACATTTAATTGTAGGAAATTTGGCTTATTAGATTAAAAAGTCTGTTATAACCTTATAGTGAAGAACACGACATACAGTATAGTAGATACTGTCTAGTAGATAGATCAGCTTGAATCCTGCTGAATGGTGGTGATTCACATACTGTTTCAGCGTTTCTAAGGCTTTCATCCTGAACTGCTTTGCTAGCTTGAGATAGCACCCACATTTCCTTAAAAGAAAGGCACTTTAAATAGTATTACTCACAAATTAATGAATGTCCATATTTATACTTGATAATTACTTTTTTGCTTTTATCCTCAAATGTACAAATTGTATCTAAACCAATGGTAGGGAGGACAGGCATGATTCAAGTTGGGGCTTGGCCTCAAACCCCAAGTAGAGAATTCTAGTGAACTAGACTGGACCATATGGGAGACCATTTTTGTTTTGTTTTTGTTCTTTTATTTTTTGACTTTTTATTTTTGTAAGCAAATAAACCATATTGACTCAGAACCAAAAAAGGCAGAAACACCTAGTGTCCGAATGTTAAGCCCAAGACTTAAGTCCATGATCTTACACTCTGCTGTAGACCTGTGTATTTCCTTCAGTAAGAAGAACCTGAATTAGTTGAGATAGGCTTTTAATGCCCAGAGTGGAGCTGGCCTGGGTGGCCTTTTCTGACTGTTGTGCTGGGCTTTGAGAGGGTGGTAGATCAATCAAGGCTCCAGACCCTTTTTATCTCATTGAATGGTAGCAAAGAGAATATACCATGTCATATTTATGTACCTTTGGCATTTTCACAATGTGAACTTTTCTATTACCACCCATTACGATGTGATTCATAACAAACCACAAGGTAGATGAAGTCCTAGAGAATGAAAAATTCAGTGTACACCCTTATCTGCCTGAAGAAATAAGCAGAGGATAGACAGGAGTCAAGCACTCCATCTTTCTTAGGTGGCAACAGTACCCTGTACATGTTTCTGCCATGATCTTGCCTTACATTGAAAAGGGGGGAAAGTAGAAAGTTAAAGGGAAATAGCTGATTATTTCAGTGCTGCACGTTTCCGTTGTAGAAAGCTACCTATCATAGTTCAGATTTTACCATTGTTAAATTATCTTTTTTAAAAACCGATTTTGTTTTATATTTTAACGGCATGTGTTAAATATGCCTCTAAGTGGAATCCTTTCACATTTCTGTGCATATGTTTGTACTCTCTTAGTTTGCTACTAAGTATGATATATTGGGATGGTATTTGCATGAAGAAGGGTGGGACTACAAACAAGCAAATAAATAAACACATGTATTCCCTTCTCTTAAAGAGATTGCAATCTTGGAATGAAATCATACCTACTAAGAAATAAATCTAGTGGATAATAAACTTGGCTGTAAAAACATTAAAATTGTCTCAGACTGTTCCCAGATTATTCCTTCTGAATTATCTAGAAGACCAAATTATTAAATGTGGATTTAATATAGGGATTGTTTTAAAAAAAAAGAGTAATTTGTTGTATTGTAGTATATTTCTATTGTTTCATATGAAAATATGTTTTACTGTCTTTTCCTACGTACCATAATATGTTTTAAAGTGTTACAATTATGTTTTAGTATGTAACATTAGCCGCTCTGAGTTTATAGCTTAGAACTGTTTAAATATTAATAAGCCTATTAACAACTATAAGGCTGTGGAATATGCAGTAGTTAATTTTCTTTATTTTTCCTTTTATGATATACAGTTACTGTTATGGGATATAGAGTTACATTAAATTGAGAAAAGTGAAATCAGACTATTTTAATTAAGTTACGTGTTTTGTTGAATTTGCATGTAGTAATACTTGTTTTTCAATAAAGATGATTATATCTAATCTCAAGTCTGATTCTCAGGCACCTTGGGTGTTCAGCAATTCAGTTCAGTTCTGACACTAATTATCTAGAGTTAGGGCATACCCTATAGGTGAAAGACTCAGTCCCACAAGACTGCCCTAGTTCACATGCCACTTAAAAGTCCCAGGTTGCCACCGTACTTCTGACTGACTAGGTTTCCCTACAACTTCATGTTCAGGTTTGGTAATTCACTAGGATAACTCTCAGAACTCAGCAGAGTGCTTTATTTACTGTTACTGGCTTATTTTAAAGTATACAACTAGGAACAGCCAAATGGAAGTGATCCATAGGTCAAGGGTCGAGGGTGGCAGACAGAGCTTCCGTGCCCTCTCTGAGTGTGCTATATTCCTAGTACATCATTGTGTTCACTAATTGAGAGGTTCTCTAAATCTCTTTGTCAAAGTGTTTTTATAACCTAATCTCAGGCACCCACCTCTCTTGACATATGGGGGTGGAGTTAAAAGCTTCCATCCTCTTATCAAGTGTTTAGTCTTTCTGGTGACCAATCTCATTCTGAGGCTGCCCTCCCACACCTACCCCATATATTCAGGTATGGTGCAAAGGAGCATGTTATGAATAACAAAAGACATTTCTGACATTCAGGAAATTCCAAGGATTTTATGCCCTCTGTGCCAGGAGGCCAGGACAAAGACCAAATTTATATTTTTAATTATTTCACGCTAGTAATGAAAAAATATGTATGTAGATAGAATTTTAGATATTAACTTTCAGCAGTTGCTGTGCACCTGTGTCAATTATCTGGCCACAATTTAACTTCTCAGTATAGTGGCTTGTCTTTCTGAACAGTATTATTGTAGCTTGTATAAGACCATCATCACAACCAGATGCGGTGGTTCACGCCTATAGCCTGTCATCCCAGCACTTTGGGAACCTGAGGCAGGTGGATCATTTGAGGTCAGGAGTTCGAGACCAGCCTGCCCAACGTGTTGAAACCCCGTCTCTGCAAAAATTAGCAAGGCATGGTGGTGCTTGCCTGTAATCCCAGCTACTCAGGAAGCCGAGTAAGGAGAATCGCTTGAACCTGGGAGGCGAACCAAGATTACGCCATTGCACCGCAGCCTGGGCGACATGGGTGAAACTCTGTCTTAAAAAACAAAAAAACGAAAAACACACCATCACTATCTGATACTGCCACTTCATCTTATACTCGTTAAGTTTAGGGAGTCCTTAGTACACAAAGGGGTTGTACTCCAGAAGCTCATTTATTATTTGAGTTTAAAATTTAGAGCACATTTTTATGGACACAGTGTGGTGAGTGGTAAATGTTTTTTTTATCAGTCCATTGGCTTTGACAAAATAGGGAACTAAGTCCAGAAGAAGATTAGGCGTGTTTGAGTGTTGTGGATGAAGAGGTTCATGATTCCTTTGAAAGATCAGGAAAATGAGAGCAATTTTGTTGTTTGGGATCAGTCTATAGATGTCTGAGAAAAGATGTGTATTAGGGGCTGAATTAGGCCTCCCCCCATCACCTACAATTCATATGACAAAACTCTGACCACTCATGTGACTGCATTTGGAAATAGGGCCCTTAAGGCTGTAATGGAGGTTAAATAAAGTCAGATGGGGCCCTGATTCAATGACTGCTATCCTTAGAAGAAGAGAAAGCTCCACAAGGAAAAGGCCATCTGAGAACATGGCAAGAAAATGACCATCTGCAAGTCAAGGAGAGAGGCCTCAGGAAAAATTAAACCTGCTGGCACCTGGACTCCTTTCAGCCATCAGAACTGTGAGAAAATCATTTCTGTTGTTTAAGCCATCCACTTTGTGATATTTTGTTGTGGCAGCCCTGGCAAACTAATACAGCATGTTCCAACCAATGCTCTAGGAGACACTAGTGTCTAGGAAATATTAATAGATACTTCTTAAAAACAATTTGTAATACATTTGGTTAGTAATCTACGATATATTCTCCATTTCGGGATTGACAATGCATACCCATGTATTAAATATTCCCAGAAACCTTGAAGCAAATAAATGTGTTTAATTTCTTTTTCACTTTCAACATTACCCAAATATATTTATCTGTGGATCATCCACTCCCTCTCTTTTAAATGCAATGTGTGTTTCCCATCAAGTCCCAGTCATTATAGAAGAAGAAAGTAGGTGGCAGGAGAGAAAGCCCCCACCTTCTTTATCTCTATTAGAGATATGCTATGGTTTCATATACTTGTATTTAAACATCATGTAGAATACCTCACTAGTAAATCCTAAGCACTAGATGTCCACAAATATATAATTGAGAAACCGAATAAGCAATGGAGGTACGGTAGATGTCTTATAGGTAGGATATAGGAGCTTTGACATCTTATTTTTTTATTCAGAAAAGTCATTATGGTTGATTAGTTTTATCAATAATATGACTAATTATTAACTGTAACTACTATAACAATATATTAACTATAATTATCCTAAAAAGATACTGATTTTTGGCTTTGTTGTTTTAATTGAAGTTAAATTCATATAACGTTAACCATTTTAAAGTGAACAGTTCAGTAGCATTTAGTACATTCATTCACAGTGGGGTGTTAACACTACCTGCATCTAGTTCTAAAACATTTTCATCACATCAGAATAAACCCTGTACCCCTTAAGCAGTGACTTATTGTTTTCCCTTCTCCCTAACCCCTGTAATATACCAATTTGCTCTGTATGGATTTACTTTTGATGTTTCATATAAATGTAATCATAAATCGTGACCTTTTCTATCTGGCATCGTCACTTACCATAATGTTTTTGAGGTTCGTGCATATTGTAGTATGTATCAGTACTTCATTTCTTTTGATAGCTAAATAATACTCCATTGTATTTTTGTACAACAATTTGTTTATCTGTGTATTTCTTTGTAGTCATTTGAGTTGTTTCCACCTTTTAGCTCATGTTAATAATACTGTGAACATTCATATAGAAGTATTTGTTTGAATACTTGTTTCACTTCTTTTGGGTAAATATCTAAGAGTAGAATTAGAAGGTCATACAGTAATTTGATGTTTTACTTTTGAGACATCACCAAACTGTTAATCATAGCAACAAAACCGTTTTACATTCCTAGGAGCAATATGCAAGGGTTCCGATTTTCACATCTTCAATAGCACTTGTTATCTTCCTTTTTTAAAAAAATTATTTTGTTCATTCTGATGCATGTGAAGTAGTAGTATTTTCTTTAGGACTAATGATGTGGAGCACCCTTTTTATGTGTTCATTGGCCATATATGTGTCTTTTTTGGAGAAAATCTGTTCAAACCTTTTGCCCATTTAAAAGTTGAGTTGTTTTTATTTTGCTTTTTGAGTTATAAGAGTTTTTTAATATATTCTGGATACCATTCTCTTCTCAGATACATGATTTGCATATATTGTCTCTTTCTCTCTGGGTTGTCTTTTTGCCTCATAATGTCCTTTAATGCATAAAAAATTTTAATTTTCATGAAGTCCAATTTATCTGTTTTTGTTTTCTTTTGTTCCTTATGCTTTTAGTGTCATATTTAAGAATGTAATGCCAAATCGCAGGTCATGAAGATTTACTTCTGTGTATTCGAAGGGTTCAGCTCTTACATTGGGGTTATTGATTTTTTTTGAGTTAATTTTTGTATGCAGTGTGACGTAGAGGCCCAACTTTATTTATTTTCATATGGATGTCTAGATTTCCCAGCACTATTTGATGAAGAGACTATTCCTTCTCTTGTTGTTGTTTTTAAATCTCTTTGTTAAAAAGTTAGTCTAATAAAGTAGTTAAGATCACTGGTTCAAGAGACAGGATGGTTGGATCCAACCAAACCTGGTGTTACTGCTTGCTACCTGTGTGGCCTTGGGGAAGTCACTCAGCCTTCCTAACATTCAGTTTTCTTATAGTAAAATAATAGAAATGCCATAGCATTATTATGAACATTAAATTGTGTAATATAAGTAACAACAAAATTTCTGACAATAAGAGATCAGGGTTGCCAAGAATTAACATTCCCAGGTCATGACATCTGATCTATTGAAGAAACCACTGTTTGTTAACAACTAACCCAGATTACAGTCCATCAGGACTAAAGAACCCAAATGAATTCAGAGAAATTAGAAAGATATTATGATTGAGAGGATCTTGCAGTATATCAGAGCATTTGTATGTTGTTTACCCCTTATGAAAAAGAAAGCTGAGGTTTAGAGTATTAACTAACTTTTCCAAGGTATAATCATGATGATCACGTGACAGAGGTGAGATTCCAATCTAGATCTGCTTCATGGGAAAGTCTGGTATTTCACTCTGTTAATGTTTACTGCAGAAAACCAAAAAGATTTAATAAACATATAACCTGTCTTCCTTCTTAAATTTCATATAGTATTAGAGTCAGGAGACATGAAAAGGGTGTGTGTGTGACATATATATGTGTAATATAAAACATTGTATGCTAATCATTTATCTAGGTGAATATTTTATTGTATTTAATACTTTTGTCTAAATCTCAGACTGTAGCATGTTTCCATTCACCTGCTGTCAATTCTTTATATATTAATATTTATAATTCAGCTCTTAATATTTAATTAATTTTTTAGCATATTAAAGTAAAATAAAAACATTTTGACATCTAGTAAATCTAAGTTTATTTAATTTTTGAGATGGAGTTTTGCTCTTGTTGCCCAGGCTGGAGTGCATGTTGCAATCTTGGCTCACTGCAACCTCTGCCTCCCGTGTTCAAGTGATTCTCTTGCCTCAGCCTCCCAAGTAGCTGGGATTACAGGCATGCATCACCACACCTGGCTAATTTTGGTTTTTATTAGAGACGGGGTTTCTCTATGTTGGTCAGGCTGTCTCGAACTCCCAACCTCAAGTTATCTGCCTGCGTTGACCTCACAAAGTGATGGGATTACAGGTGTGAGCCACTGTGCCTGGCCAATCTAAGTTTTTTTTAAAGTGATGATCTCTGAATCCAATATTTTAAATGGTATTGAAAATTTTACAACCCATAAATTTAGGTTTCTTTTGTGATTCTCCTAGATGTAATAAAGGAACAGAATCGAGAGTTACGAGGTACACAGAGGGCTATAATCAGAGATCGAGCAGCTTTAGAGAAACAAGAAAAACAGCTGGTAAGTAGAACATTAAATTTCACTTTAACTTTTCAAACAAATTTGGAAATTACTGTAGGAATAATTAGCTAACTAGGAAAAAGACACATGGCAGGTGGTAAGTGATTTACTAAGAAATGGCAGTTAATGATGTTCGCATCTTCTGTTTATCTTTGTTTATTGCGTCATTCTGCTGACTTTTATCGGGATTCTGTGTATTCTGTTGATTATAGAATCAAATTATTTTTCAGTTTGTGAGAGTCATGAGTGTCTAGAAAGAAATATTATTCAAGACAGATCCACCTTCTTAGTTAACAGCAAAGATAAAATAGTCATAGAAAACAAAGGGAGGTTTTTAAAAAAATGCGTTAACTCATAGGAGTCTTGCTTGATATTTTAAAGATCATTGTGTCTTTGACAATGAATATACTTTTATAATAGACTAGTCTGGTTCATTTTGAAATATTCTTTATGCTATGTTTTTATGTGTATGTTGCCTCAAATCTTTAAAAAACAGCTTTATTGAGGGATAATTGACATGCAATAAACTGTACATATTTCAGTTGTACAATTTGACAGGTTTTGACATACATATAAACTCATGAAATCATTATATTACAGTCAAGGTAATAAACATACCAATCTTCCCCAAAAGCTTCCTTATGCCCCTGGAAATCCCTCCTACCCATCCCTTCCTGTTGCCCTCCTTCCCGATGAAGAAAATACTGATCTGTCACTGTAGGTGAGTTTTCATTTCTAGAATTTTATGTAAATGGAATCATATAGTGTCAACTCCTTTTTTATGGCATCTTTCACTCAGCATAATTATTTTGAGGTTAATCAGTGCTGTTTCATGTATTATTGTTACTTACTTTTTATAGATGAATATTATTGAATTGTTTGAATATTTCACAATTTGTTTATTTACCAGTCAGTGGACGTTTATGTTGTTTCCAGGTATTGGTTAATTGGATAAAGTTGCTTTAAACATTCATTCAAAGTTTTTATGACATGATTTTCATTTTTCTTGAGTATATTCCTCAGAGTGAGATTGCTGGATCATAGGGTAAATGTATGTGTAACTGCTAAAAAATTAAAATTAAAGTGCCAAAAAATTTGCAGAGTACCTGTAATGTTCTCTTCCCACTAGCAATGTATGAAAGTTACAGTTATTTCACCTACTTGGAGTTGACAGTCTTTAATTTTAGCCATTTTATTGGGTATATAGTAGATGGTCATTTTAAATTTCATTTTCTTAATCACTAATGAACATCTTTTTAGGTACCAGTTTGCCAGTTACCTTTGTTCTTTGCCAGAGTGTCTATTCAAATATTTTACACATTTTTTTCATCAAATTGTTTTCTTATTCAGTTGCAATAGATCTTTATGTATGGTGGAAACAAATGCTTTATTAAGTGTATGTTGTGCAAATATTCTTTCCAAGTTCTTAAGCTTGTCCTTCATTTTCCTAAGTGTCTTTTGAGGAATATAGAAGGGTTTTTTGGGGGTTGTTTTGATCAAGTACAATTTTTTATTCTTTTGTTCTTTTTTTTCAGTGTTAGAGTTTCTTACAAATGTCAGTTGGGTCAAATTGGTGGTAGCGTTTTCTAAGCCTTCTGTACGTTGCAGATTTTCTGTCTGCTTGTAACAATTAGAGTGTATGCTTAACAGTGGAGTTGTTAATATTTCTCATCCTTTTTTCTGTGGTTAGTACTTTTAGTGTACTATTTTTCTGATTAGTACTTTTAGTGTACTATTTATTTTTAGTGTACTAGCTACGAGTGCGTAACCTTAAGTCACTAATATTTTCTCTTGTTTTCTTCTAGAAATATTATAGTTTTAGTTCTTTAGTTGTACTTTTTTCTGTTATGTTTAAGCTTCTGAAGTATTTATTTTTTTCAAATACAAGCTTTAATGCTGTAAACTCTTTTAAGAACTGTTTTGACTGCAACTCACAAATTTTTAGATGTTGCATTTTCACTTTATTAAGTTCAAAATATTATTTCCTCTGTGCTTTTTTCTTTAACTCATGACTTATTTGGAACTGTTATTTTTAAATTTCTCTTGTGATTTTCTTTTCATATTTTTGTTATTAATTTTGAGTTTCATTGTAGTTAGAGAGCCTACTTTGTGTAATTCCAGTCCTTTAAAATTTATTGCGCCCTGTTTTCTGATGTAGAATATGGAATATTTTGGTGATTGTTTAGTGTACACTTGTAAAGAATGTATATATTCTGCTTTCAATGTTGGAGTTTCTTACAAATGTCAATTAGGTGAAATTGGTGATAATGTTTTTTAAGCCTTCTGTATCATTGCAGGTTGTCTGTCTACTTGGAACAATTAGACTGTATGCTTAAGAGTGGAGTTGTTGATATTTCTCATGCTAATTCTACATTTGCCTGTTTCTCCTTTAAGTTCTGTCCATTGTGTTTTATATATTTGGAAGCACTTTTATTAGGTACATACTCACTTAAGATTGTCCTGATATCTGTATGTATTGATTCCCTTATCATTATGAAATATTTGTTCTCAAGTTTATTTCATCTCTGTTAATATAGCCACTCCAGATTGGCAGGTTTTGATAAGTATGTACATAGCATGTATTTTTCTGACCTTTCACTTGACTTTGTTTTTGTACAAGTTGGTATCTTGAGATAGCATGTAGTTGGGTTTGCTTTCTTATCTAATCTGACAGCCTGTCTTAAAATTGAGGTATAAAATGGACTATTTTATTTAATATAATTATCTATATTATTAGTTTTATATCTGTCACCGTGCTTTTTATTGCACTGTCCCACCAAGTCTTTGCTTGTATGTTTGTTCCTTTTCCCTTACCTTCTTTTGGACTGTCTTTTTTTCTTATTTTAAAATTTTCTTTTGGGCTCTAGGTGTGCACTGTTTTTGTGGACTTGCTTTGTATTCATGGATGAAGGTACTAGTTCTGTCCTTCCCATGTAAACATGTAGGCTAAATTGCTTTCTGAGATCACTCTTCTGCTCTGTGACTTTGTAATAGCCTCTTCCCCTCTTCATGATCGGGGAGAAAGGGTTTGTTATGCATATTAGATCTGTTCTTCTGAAATAAATTATTGAAGACTACCTCTCAATGATTTTATTTTCTTCTGTTTGTTTCCTCTCTTAGGAATTAGAAATTAAGAAAATGGCCAAGATTGGTAATAAGGATGCTTGCAGAGTTTTAGCAAAACAACTTGTGCATCTACGGAAACAGAAGACAAGAACTTTTGCTGTAAGTTCAAAAGTTACTTCTATGTCCACACAAACAAAAGTGATGAATTCCCAAATGAAGATGGCTGGAGCAATGTCTACCACAGCAAAAGTAAGTGAGAGCCTTTATATCCATAGATTTATAATTTTATCAATGATATTTAAATATCAACATTGCAATCAGACTTAAAAGCACCTCTTGGTTTATATGTGGTACAAAATGTGTGTAATTTTTAAGTAAAACAGGTTATAATACTAGGTAATTACTTCTGCATTCTTTGATGATATGTTTTAATACACAAGTTCTTGTTTGAGGACAATCCATTTTCTTTTCTTTTTTTTCTTTTTCTTTTTTTTTTTTTTTTTTTTTTTTTTTTTTTTTTGAGACAGTTTTTTGCTCTGTCACCTAGGCTGGAGTGCAGTGGTGCCATTTCGGCTCACTGCAAACTGCCTCTCGGGTTCAAGTGATTCTCCTGCCTCTGCCTCCCAAATAGCTGGGATTACAGGCGTGTGCCACCACACCTGGCTAATTTTTGTATTTTTAGTAGAGATGGGGCTTCACCATGTTGGCCCGGCTGGTCTTCAACTCCTGACCACAGATGAGCCACCCTCTTCAGCCTCCCAAAGTGCTGAGATTACAGACATAAGCCACCATGCCTGGCCGACAATCCCATTTTCTGAGGATCACATGTAGCTTCTAATTTTATAAAATTGACTTTAAAAAGTATTTGCTTTTTTTCCCCTCGAATTGTCAGAACATTTTTGACCTTTTTATCCCATTAAGCTATATGTGCTGACTACTTTTGAATGATAAATTTTTCTGGATTCATTTCTATGAATGTGTCAGAAGGTCACATGAATAGTAAGAAGATTTATCAGAACTTATGTTTTTCTAGAACTTATGTTTAACTTACTGCATACATACACAAACACATTTTTATATATCTATAATCAGTGTTTTTACTGTAGAGTTTAAAGGACTCTGAGTCTTCCAGTTCTCAAATAAAGCACTTCTTGATACTGTTGGTAATCAAAAGATGTTAAGACAGAAGCTCTGCTTTCACAAATTTTATAGTTCAATTGGGGGAGCTTAAGTTATGCCTCTAGGAACCTACCCACTATATATCAGTCTTGCTAAGCTTTATGAACTGCACAGACCTTGACTAGGATAATCTAAAAGACCATGCGTAAGACAGAGGTTTTAAGAATATCAGTAGATGCTAGATGTAGAGAAGAGGAAGTATGAATACAAAGTGCAAAAGAAAAAGCCTCAGAGGAAAGTACAAGGTTTATGTTAGGGAAATTGTATACAGGCGATTTTTGTTATTCACGGTAGTTATGTCCCATGAACTCGGAAGCACTGAAATAGTGCATATCAAACCATTGCTCCCAGGGGAAATACAGAATTATATCTCTGTGAGCCTTTGTTTTTCATCACCTAATCTCCACCTAACTGTTTCTGTTTAAAGATGCCACATTTAATAATTGATTTGCTCATATTTAGCTCATGACTAATGGCACTATACCTCATGCCACAACAAAGCTTATCTAACAGATATTTTCTGCATAAAGCACATCATGTCCTTCTTTCACTTAGGAACATTGGACAGCATGTTAACACAATGCTTGGGGATCATTTTAATCAGTGAGATCACCAACAAAAACCACAAAAGCGAGAAAAATATGACACTAAATAGACTATGGAAAAGACACTTAATTTTCAGTAAGAAGGCAGAATATCACCTGGTTTAACCTTAGCTGGAAATGTGCATGTCGGGCGACTCAAATGTTTTGCTACTTTGCACATGTCCACAGATGAGCATTAAAACACTGCAGGTATTCATTTGAGGCTACAAAGAAATTTTAATGAATAGGTAAATTCTCATATATGGAATCCACAAATAAGGAATAGTAACTGTAATTGTGTTTTAGACATAAGAGCACTTGAAAGTTGAATGCTGTGTAAACATACAGTTAGAAGGAATAAATTCATTATTTGATAGCAGAGTAGGGTGATTATAGTTCACAAAAATCTATTGTACTTGGATGGTAAACAGCCTAATACTCTGAGTTGATCACTATGCATTGTATACATGTAACAAAATTTTATATGTACCCAATACATTTGTGCAAATAAAAAGTAGAATGCATCCATTTTTTGAAGTACAAAAAGTACAGTGACATGTTATAATCTTTAAAAAGAGAAAGTTTCAAGCTGGGCACCATCCTTCATGCCTGTAGTCTCAGCACTTTGGGAGGTCAGGGCGGTGGATCACTTGAGACCAGGAGTTCGAGACCAGTCTGGCCAACATGGCGAGACCCCATCTCTACTAAAAATACAAAAATTAACTGGACATGGTGGTGGGCACCTGTAATCCCATCTACTTGGGAGGCTGAGGCAGGAGAATCGCAGGAACCTGGGAGGCAGAGGTTGCAGTGAACCAAGATCAGGCCACTGCACTCCAGCCTGGGCAACCGAGACTGTCTCAAAAAAAAAAAAAGACAAAGGAGAGAATGTTTCAATATATATTTTGTTTCTCCGTTTCCTTATTCTTTTTGTTTGTTTGTTTTTTGAGACAGTCTCACTCTGTTTCCCAGGCTGGGATGCAATGGCGCAATCTTGGCTCACTGCAACCTCTGCCTCCCAGGTTGAAGTGGTTCTCCTGCCATAGCCTCCCAGGTAGCTGGTATTGCAGGCCGGAGCCACCATGCCTGGCTAATTTTTGTATTTTTAGTAGAGAGGGCATTTCACCATTATTGGCCAGGTTAGTCTCAAACTCCTGGCCTCAAATGATCTGCCCACCTTGGCCTCCCAGAGTGCTGGGATTATGGGTGTGAGCCACTGCGTGCTCAGCCTCAGTTAACTACTTCTTCATGAGTCTTAGTTATTTTGTAGTGAAAAACACTGTTAAGGCAAAAACTTTTGTTTTTCTGTTTTGGTTTTACAAACGAACACAACTAATTATCTAATTTGGGGAAAAGATCATTTATGAAGATTACATACATAGCCTGAGAACTTGTTAGTAGTATTGAAGGGAAAGATTACTCATTTTCAGTATTCTGAAGGTGGTGGGCTACCTAATCTGGTCCTACCATGTGGGCCACCTAATCTGGTCCTACCATGTGGACCTGTGTGAACTGAAATTCTCATTTAAATTTCTTAGACGTGTTAACTCAGCAAATATTTGGTTAGGTCTTTTAGGTAGAGATGGAGATGAAGTGGAAAGGAGAATTAGACAAGAGCTTAACCTTCATGCAGCTACAGTCTATTTAAGAGGAAGCCCGTGGGGAAGTAGCTTGTGTAGTGGTTGGAAACTTGAGCTCTGGAGACAAACTGCTTGGGTTCTGATCTCACACCACATAGTAACAGTGTGACCCCGTGTAAGTTATTTTGCCTTTCTGTGCCCTCCTTCTCCATTTGTAATAGAAGGAAAATGGTAATACCTAGCACGTAAAGTTTTGTCAGATTTAAATGTCATGTAACTTTGATAGTATTATATGTAAAGTACTTAGAACAGTGCCTGGTGAGATTATATAGGCATTAGCTACTCTATCAACAGCACCATCATCACCATCATCATTATCATTAGTATTGTTTACAACAACAATGTAAGTTGCAATTAAAGTAATTTAAGTTATACGAATAAATATAAAATTTCATATATCCTGACTAGGATTTTATAGGCATGTCTATTCTAATCTGGGGTGTCAGGGACTACTTTCCTAAGAAAGTGGTATGTAAACCGAAATGCGAAGTGTGTTGAGAGTGAAAGCAAGTAGTGAAGAGGATTCAGAGTGAGGGACGGGTACATGTAAAGGTCCTGTGGCAGGAGAAAACATAGCACATTTAAGGAACCAAAGTTATGTGTCTAGAGGGCAATAGTGCAAAATGAGACTGCCTTGTTAAGCAGAGGTTAATCTGTTAGGTCTCGTAGGGAAATTGTGGTATTTGGCTTTTAGCACTTAAGAGTAATGGAAAGCCAGTAGAGAGTTAGGTGTGTTGAGGGTGATAAGGGGTGTGGGGAATGCTGCATCATACTTGGAAAGATTACTTTGGCTACAGCATTGCATATAGTTGAAAAAGGACTGTTTGCTTCATATCTTTGAAATCAACAAGTTTTCTATTATATAGTTTCTTTTAATATACTGAATTAACTATATAATGCATACATATATGTTTATATTATGCATCATATATATAAAAATACAGTCATGTCTGGCTTAACATTAGGGATACATTTTGAAAAATTCACCTTAGGAAATTTTATCATGGTACAAATATTATGGAATATACTTACGTAAACCTAGGTGATACAGCCTACTATGCATCTAGGTTATATGCTGTAGCCTGTTGGTCCTAGGCTACACTGTACTGAATATTATGGGCAGTTGTAACATAATGGTTTAATTATATGTGTATCTAGACATATCTAAATATAAGAAAGATACAGGAAAAATGCAGTAAGCTTATGAGGCCACTGTCATGTATGCTGTTGGCCATTAACTAACTGTAAGTACATGGCACATGATTGTAAATAAATTTTGGTGGTACTAGGGAACATTAATTTCTTAATGAAATGAGTTGTGAGTATATAATGTAAGAGAATTGTTTTCACATAATTTTCAAAACTCACATTTTTATGTTTCTTCAAACCATGGTTTTAAATGTGTTAATAGATTAAGTATGTATGCTAGTATATCTTCTAATCCTTTGGACATTAAAAATTTTAATGAAAGTTTATAAAAATTAAATTTAAAAATTTGTTGATAGTACCTACTTGCCACATGAATAGGTAAATTTAATTTTCTTATTTGAATAGCAAAGGATTTTATGCTGATAATTTTTTTATTATATGATTTCTTGCCTGTTGTTCAGATGAGGTTTTTCACACTGGCCTTTACTATATAGATGTCAAGCAGATGGTTTCCAAATGACTATTTCATTTTTTTCTAGACTATTTAGCACTCTATGTTTGATTGCGGCAGGATGGGTATCCTTTAAAAGCCTATCTATATTTGATGTGTTCCCTTTTGACTTATTCCATAGTAAAATTTTCATAATTATGGAACTAACATGAATCTTGTAAATATGTTTATAGACAATGCAGGCTGTAAACAAGAAGATGGATCCACAGAAAACATTACAAACAATGCAGAATTTCCAGAAGGAAAACATGAAAATGGAAATGACTGAAGAAATGAGTAAGTTTAATAAGCTGTAATGAAATGTATAGTTTTCTCATCTTTGAGTTGGCCATTTATTTACTATCAATCTCTTATTCTCATTCACGAAGGTAGAAATGATGAAACCTAAAATGAAAGGCTCAAAATTCTATTAGCATTTAACTGAGGAAAAGGTATAAAATATGTTACTCCACATCTCTATTACATATTGGCTTCGGCAGTTTTTCTTTATTGATTAGTATACCAAAACCAACTCGTGAGGTAAATAATTCTTCATGAATTAAGTAGTTTCAGAGTTATGTCGACTCTTCGATACTATCAATTTGTCTGTATTAGAAGTAGAGGTAATGGAGCTCTTTAGTTTTTATTCTCATTTTTCCCCCTCTCACAAGAGTCTTCTAATATTTAGTTTTTGTCTTTTTGAATAGAAACTCATTACATGTTATGGCGGAAATACAGAGAATACAAAGAAACAGAGCATATAAAAATCGTCACAGCACCCAGATGTAGTTACTGTTAATGTTGTACATTTTTCTGTATTTTCTTATAATCTTGATCTACAAAAGGAAGATCACCTTCCATGTACAATTAGGAATATCTTGCTTTTTAGAAACATAATAGTATAACACAAGTATGTACTCATGACCTTGACGTTAAATCTTCTCTGAAGTCTTTTTAGAAAATAGCCTTAAGACCAGGTGCGGTGGCCCACGCCTGTAATCTCAGCACTTTGGGAGGCTGAGTTGGGTGAATCACCAGGTCAGGAGTTCAAGACCAGCCTGGCCAACGTGGCAAAACCCTGTCTTTACTAAAAATACAAAAAATTAGCTGGGCATGGTAGCAGGCACCTGTTTATACCAGCTACTTGAGAGGCTGAGGCAGGAGAATCACTTGAACCCAGGAGGCAGAGGTTGCAGTGAGCTGAGATCACACCGCTGCGTTCCAGCCCGGGAGACAGTGTAAGACTCTATCTCAAAATAAAAAAAAAAAAAAAAAAAAAAAAAAAAAGCTTTAATATTATTTAACGTCAGTATACCCTAGTTTATCATGCTATTGTATTGATCAATAAGATTGCTGTAAAATTTTTAACGTATTTGATAATCTTTTAAAAATTATGTTTAAGTATTATCTTTGACTGAATTCTTAAATCTCTTTTGAAAATTAACTTTTATAAGGCTTTTGATTTGTACTACCAATTCTTTCTATAAAGACTACACCAGTGACAATAACTGACCCCTCATTGAACCCTGATCAGTATTAAATCATTACTTATATTATGTCGAAAACTGGCATTGTTTTGAAAAGATGTTTTCTAAATGTTTTACAACTATAAAAAATACAAAATACAAAAATAAATGTTTTACAACTATGTAGGGATATATGAATTTAGCCTTGCTTATCTGCCAGTAGTTTAGTTTAACAGCTTTTAGTAAGTAACATTTAGTGTATAAAATAGTATCTAATTAAGTTACCAGGGTTAATAAACTCATTATTGTTCTAGTATTCTATTTCATATAGTCGTCTTTCCTCTCATTGGTGATAATACTGCATATTTATATTTGGTAGCTCCAAAAGTTCTGTAGTTTTTACTTTAGGCCTTTATTTTGAAAACTCTGATATCAGTTTTTTCAGGTTGTTGAAACATTATCAATGAATTTTTAATGACTGAGAGAATTGTTATTTATATAATGTTCATAGTATTTAACATATGGTTTCCAATGCCAGTGATGACAATTCTCACCAGAGAAATTAACTTTTCCGTTAAGCTATAATTAAAAGAATCAGTAACCCTTACTTAATCATGTATCTATCATACCTACTGAAGTTCTCATTTGTATTTTAATACATTGCAAGTTAGTCTGAAATAATACTGATTATTGATGGTTACTTGTGTTTATAATAACCTAGTAAAGTACACTAGCAATATTTTCATCCAAAAACAAATTCAAGATGTAAATCAACTTATCTTTTTCTGCTTGAAATTTTTATTCTGCCATGTTGCTCCAAAGCTTGTTCACATTCAAGTTTAAGACACAAGATCATTGGGAAATTTTATGGTATACCTCTGATGAGTTTTATTGCACTTTTTCTGAAAGCATTCTTGTTAGTCTGATTACACCTCTCTAATCTTTTTCTTCTATCCACTTCATTCCTTTTTTCCTGCAACCACTTCTTTACTTGGGCCCTTATAAACTTTGTGTGACCTGGACTTGGCAGCTCCTGTATTTCTTTGCTAAGTTACATCTGAGTAACTATACTGCTTGCTAAATTATTTTTTTCCAAGGACTTACCTTTGAGCATACCGATTAAATTTTATTTTGTAGTAAGCAGAAAACTACAAAGTAAAATCCCCAAATTTTAAATCAAAAACAAGAAGGGAGTATTTAGGTTATGAAACATCTTCAGTTTATACTCTAGATGGTTGCCTACCTGATGTGACATTTTCCAGGGAGTCTGATTGCAGGTTTGTTACTATAGCAGTCCTAAACCAGGACACCCTGGTCAGAGCATTCCATAGACAAGGACTCTCTCACTAGTAAATATTAAGTCTGTTTGCCAGGAGCCCCAGTTACCAACATGATTACAAGGAAATCAGACTAGGTTACCTGTCTTGCCTTTCTACCAGGAGAGGAACAGTTTCAGGCTAGATGCTTTAATTGTTTTTTCTCCCAGACATTTTTCATTTATATATCTTAAATAACAACCAAACAGAAGAACTTACTCTTTCTTGCCTGTGTCCCTATTGCATCACGGTGACTTTGCCCATGCTGTTCTCTTTATGTATCTTAGTGTGTTTAAACTGTATGTATATTTGCCAGATTACTTCACATGTTACTTCCTCCAGTTGGATGTCATCTCTTCCTCTGAAACTTTATAATCATTTATCTTTTCACTTACCCCAATCTGTTTCTTAATTTTTTTCTTTTATACTCAAGTGTGAACTACCCGAGGTCTTTATTTTTCTCCATCTGTATACCCATTGTATTTGTATTGCATTTCAGGTACTTAGGTGCCCGGTTTCAAAGATAAAAAAGGCATAATCTCAATCCATCAGAAATTGCTTTCCCACAACTGAACATGATGCCTTCAATACAAAGTGCTTTCAGTAAATACTTTGGGAAGGGAAGAGAAGAAGAAAAGGTTGTAGCAGTAATAATCCTGTTAAATTGGACATCATTCTTTGGACAAATTTAATAAAATATTGAACATTAGATTTCTTTAGACGATTCTCCCTATATCTTGAATGTAAATTTAAGAAGTATAAAAATATGATTATAGAGGTAAAAAGAGTAAATAGTTTCCCAGATATTAACAGGATTTTTATTCTTGTATATTCTTCCTCTATCAGCTTAATGGATACAATTTGTGAAATAATATTTAAAAATCTTAATCATGTAGCTGTGAATATCATATGGTTTTTGTCTATTAGATGTAATTTTGAAAAAATCAGAGACTTATTTACTATAGGATAATTTGTGTTGAAATGAACATTATTCCAGAATTAATGGCTCAAATATGTATTTATCAATGTACTTCACTGACATTTTGAAGGATTTTTTTTAGTTTGTTTACTGAATTTGTCTTTTGTAATATACAAAATAGTTGGGCTAGCCTGTAAATATGTAAATCTAACCTGAAGTTTGTTTGAAAGTAACTGAGTTGCTTCTTCTCCCTTGTCCCCCAGTCAATGATACACTTGATGACATCTTTGACGGTTCTGATGATGAGGAAGAAAGCCAGGATATTGTGAATCAAGTTCTTGATGAAATTGGAATTGAAATTTCTGGAAAGGTATGAACATTATCTTTCCTTAGTTGGAATAGTTTCTACCTACCACCTTTGTCACTTAATTGTTTTATTTTTATTATGAGGTGCGTGTTTTTATTTCTGTTTCAAAAGTAAATTAGACCTCTTTACAGCACATTCCATGTCCTAGTCCAAATGTTTCCTAATGCACGTTTTTCTTTTTCTTTGTTTACTATAGATGGCCAAAGCCCCATCGGCTGCTCGAAGTTTACCATCTGCCTCTACTTCAAAGGCTACAATTTCTGATGAAGAGATTGAACGGCAACTCAAGGCTTTAGGAGTAGATTAGTCAAAGAAAGTCACAATATTTTGCTTACTTATAATTATGTAGTATAAACTAGGCACAGTGCAGATTTCTTTTACAAAACACATGTATTTTGCAAAAACAAAAAAAATGAAGACCATGAGTGAACAGTTGTTTCCTAACCCATGGCTATTTTGAATCTTTTGCCAAAGAATGACAATGATGCAAAAATGGGAACAGTTTGGATTTTAATTAGAACTATTTAGGAGTGATGATGTGTAAAAAGTTGATTTCTCTTTTGCATGGCACAGAGAAATTATATTCCTTCATGTCAGTTTATGTTCTAAAATCGTTTTCACTGAATATAAACTCTTGTTAAATGCCATTAGGCACCACCTTAAAGAGGGTTGTAAAAATATTAAAAGTATATTGTTAATTCTGTATCTGTTGCTTCTCTTTTGTAAGCGATTATGTATTATGACCATAGGCAGTTACAGTTGCCAAATTATTTTTAAATGGTCAAAAAGAAGAGTGCTATTTAAACATCTGTCTTAAACAAAAACTGTCAATAACTTGTTCTTTTTCCTTTGGGAGAACATTCTAGTTGGTAAGTTTATTACCTTTCAAAATGTGCTTGGCACCTACCTTACATCACACAGACCTATTGTGCACATCTTTAAATTATTTCGGCTGGCAGAAAAGAATGACATTTTAAACTGAAATCAGGGCCTCATGCAAAGATTATCCTGGCTCTTTTCTAAGCTTGTAAAAGTGAATTGAATATAATTAGTAAAAATAGGCAATGAATAAATAACACTTTATAGTAAGAAAACAATATATTCTGCCCATCTAAAATGAGAGTATTATAATTGATTTTATGAATTATAATTTAAACTTTAATTTTGAACTGTATTAATGTGTATATTGAATCTTCTAAATTGAAGCCATTATTCTCAATTAAGTACTACAACAATGACAATGCTTGACCTACATTTTAAAAATAAAAAATAACATTTTTTTAATAAACTATAATTTTACCAGAAATTACTGTCTAAATATGTATTAGCAGTATTTTTTAAGGTAAATTGCCATGATATCTAATGAATGTGTAGACAGAGAACGTGAAGGAGTGTCAGACTAGTTAGAATTTAGAATTAGGTTAGTTTTGAAAAATGATGTTGTGATATATGGGTTTTAACACATCCTACCATGAAAACTGGAGGAGATAGGTGTAACCTGGTTAATTTGGGATGATGGACATTTTGGACTAATATTGACAGAATACGTCTTAGGACTAGTATACATGTGACATGGATTGCTAGGAGGAACGAAAAAGCTAAACCGTATAGTTTATATTCCATAAACCATTTTATAATGTTCAAAGATTAGGTTTCATTATTGATAGTATTAAATACACAGTTTCTCTTAACAGTGATGGGTCAAAACATTTTACTGGATTATGGAATGTTTACCAGAACATGTTTTGATTCTTGAATGTACATAATAATGCCATCTAACTTATTTACTTTCTTGTTTACATGTGGGGGCTTTTGTTTTTAAAAATTATTTTGTTAAAAAATCTCAATAAAGATTTATTATTGTTGTCCTTTTCTTCCTTATCTTTTTTACCCTTTTCGGCTGCTGCTAAAATTAAAAATTTGATGCATATTTGGTAATTTTTCAAAAGAATGATCTTTATTATTTTATTATTTTCCTGAAAGAATAATTAGATAAACTCTGCTGCTTACATTTAAAACAAAAACCAAAAAACAAAAGCTATCTTTTTAGGAAATAATTGGTACAAGACTAATGTTTGTGAATGTGATAAGCCTAAGAATTGATGGTTTCACATTAATAATTTTTCCCAGTATTTTCAGGGATTAAGCATTTTTAAGTTTTATTTTTAAACTTATAAGTCCTAGTGATTTATTTCATTTCAGTCAAACATGGATACCACAGAAGAATTGGAATATAAAAGACAGAGTGATCATTCTGATTGGCTACATTTATGAAGTGTTCTGGTGGCAGTTTTCCCAGTCACTGCCACTGTAAATTTGTAATGTTACCCTATCCTTTGCTAAAAAGAAAACAGTTCCTTTTGAGTCTTTAAAGAATAGGAAATAAGGATTCTTATAGATTGGCCTTAATGAAAATACTCTGTTTTTTTAACCTGCTTTTTCTAACGTCCTTAGGCACAAAAAAGAATTTAACATTTGTAATCAAACGAGGTAGCCATAGAAAGAATAGAAGATATCTCTATTACTGAAAAGGGTATAGCCCAAAGCTACACAGTACCAAACGAAGTTATTTATGGTGGAAATTTCAGAGTACTGGAGAAGTAGAATGTGATACAAAAATGTCAATACTAATGATAACACCTGTTCTTAGAAAACATAAAATGACCACCTGTCAGATGATTGTGTTACACACACTGTACTATGTGCTCTGAGGGGAGTATCTGATTATTGCAAGAGCTAATGGAAAAGGGCTCCAGACTGTGACCCTGTGGACCAGAGAGGAATTTGTCAGCCTAGGAGCTGTATATATATAAAATATACGGTGATGTATATTTTACTATTTGCGTTTGAATACCTTTAGAGAGAACTTGGAACTCTTTCTGGCCAAAATGTGCATTTCCTACCATCCTGGTTGCCATGCTTCTCACCTGATCTCTGTGGGCCTAATTTAAATATATACTCTTATTTTAAACACTCCTATGTTAAAACAGGAGTTTTAACCTGTTAAACCAGGGTTTCCTGGCTTGAGACCTATGATGACTTGTCCCTTTGATGCCATTACTGTGCATAAAAACGTTTTGGCAGGTTCAGAAACACGGACCACCTTTCCAATTTCCTCTCTGTAGAAGCTGAGGATTCAAAACCATTCTAAACTTACTTCTTTTAGGAGTCAACTGGATTGATGTTGCCTTAAAGGAAGCCTGAAGATTATGAAGCTGGATTTCAGGTGCCCTACTGTTGGAAAACCACATTCCCCCAACAACTTGAAAATACACACACACCCCAACCATCCCCAAACACTGAAAATATTTATTTGACTAGACAGATCCTTACCACCATTAGAGATGGAAAAGTAAACTGTATGAATGAGTTTATCAGCCAACTTTACTAGGTAAGGTTGAATGTACTGAACTAGTAGAAGTGACAAACATCTTTCTTCCATTTTAATGGACAACTTTACTGAATTCCTGAAGACTTAAAGAGCTCACAAATGCATAAGAAGGAAAAACTGTATGGCTACAGTCAGACTTTGCCATTTATTCCCCAAAGTATGAACGTATCAGTCTACATAGTAAATTATGTCATTTGCTTAATTGAGGTTTAGGATTCTAAATGGCATTAACCATTTTCTGTTGTATTAAAGATTAATCAAAATCTATTAAAGTATTATTTTAATGTAGTCAGAAAATAGTCTCATAATTAATAAAAATGAGTTAATAGTAAATACCAGTATTTGCTGTTTACAACTAACTTATGAATAGCTAAGTGAGTGTATTAGTCCATTCTCACAGTGTTATAAGGAAATATCTCAGACTAGGTAATTTATAAAGAAGAGGTTTTATTGACTCACTGCTCCACATAGCTGGGGAGGAGGCCTCAGGAACCTTACAATCATGGTGGAAGGTGCCTTTTCTCAGGGTGGCAGGAGAGAGAATGAGAGTCCAGCAAACGGGAAAGACCCTTGTTAGGCTGTAAGATCTCACTATCAGTTCTCACAATAGTGACTTGAGAACCAAGTCACTATAAGGGAAACTGCCCCTAAGATTCAATTATCTCTGCCTGGTCTCTCCCACCACATGTGGGGATTATGGGAACTACAATTCAAGATGAGGTTTGGGTGGGGACACAACCAAATCATATGAGTGACCAAAGAATTGCTATTTCACTGGGCGCAGTGGTTCATGCCTGTAATTCCAACACTGGGATGCTGAGGAAGGAGGATCACATAAGTCTAGGAGGTCCAGATTGGGCTGGGCAACATAAAGAGACCCTGTCTCTACAAAAAATTTTGAATATAACCAGGCATGACAGTGTGGCACCTGTAGTCCCAGCTACTCGAGAGGCTGAGGCTGCAGTGAGCCATAGTCATGCCACTTTACTCCAGCCTGGGTGACAGAGTGAGATTCTGTCTCAATAGTAAGAATAATTCGCTATTTCAATCGTAAGTATTAACTCAAAATAATTTCTTTTAGGAAAAAACTATTGGTACCCAATACTGGTTGTGTCTAAACTTGAAAAGAATGACCTTATGGATAGATGTTTCATAATACTAATTATGATCTAGACATACGATCTAAGCATATAGACATGCTTATTTTTGCTACATAAAGTAAAAGTAAACATTACCAGATGATTTATATTTAAAATGTGAAACAATCACTAATGTAGATTTATATTACATTTTATTTCTATTTGCAAGTTTCAAAATGCATATATACATATACATTTATGTATACATGATCTGGCTTTTAGCAAACTAAAGAATCCCTCCCCCAATTAATGTGTTTTAAGTAGGCGAAGAAATATTGAGTTATCCAGAGAAGGAACATTCTTGAATGCCTGTGTGGCTGAATAATTGGAATTAACTCTTAAATACGAATGTTGTATTTATAGTTTTTGATGCTAAATGTGTGCTTAAACATGGATGATTAGGCCACCGAAACCTGTTTTGTTAGTTAAATGTCTATCTTTGTTAGTAGTATATCAAATTTTTACCCATCCAGTTGATGGTGATTATGTATACACATACATATATGATCTATGTAGATTATGACCTGTAAACATGTTAGGTCTTTAATAATATCATAAAAAGAGACTGGATCATATAATTTATTTAGTAAGCATTCTAAATCAACAATAAAAATTGTTCTAATTGTTACCACTTTTGTTATATAAAATAAGTTAGAGAAACATTGCCAGCAGATTTACATTCAAAATGCAAAAAGCCACTATTAAGTTGATATCCCATTACAGTTTGCTTCTACTAGCATGTGTCAAGGAAATGCATGCTTATATTGTAAATAAATATGTCCTTTCCAATACAGTTCTCAGAATTAAAATCTCAATATGTCAAACTTTTTACAAATAGTGAATCGGATTCTAATCCATTATACCAAAAGTGATCATGGCTTATCATAGAAACCTGGATGATTTTCTAGAATGTGAGATTGCAAAAACATTGTGATTTAAAATTAGGTGACACCATTCACATTTGTAGCATTGTTAACAGTACACTCCTTCATTTAGCAAAGATTGTATGCCTAATATGAGCAAGAATTTCCCAAGCCCTGGAGAAATGACAGCAAACAAGCCAGATATCTTCCCATCCTGTGGCAGCTTACAGACTAATGGTTTGGGGCTTAAGAATCCATAAGACATTATTTTCCACAGCTACACATCAAAAAGCTGATATTTAGGAAGAATAAAAAGATCATAAATCAAGCTTTCTACAAATCTCTTTTGAAACAGTTCTATCAGCTATATGCCCTAAATTTTAGCTTCAAAGGTGTCAATTCTGATTGAGGTTTATTAAATGTAGTAATAAAAGTATAAGACACCTCCAGCTCTAAGTTCAAAACTTTTGGTTCAGACAAACTAGTAGAGTTGGCAGTAAGCAGAACATTGGATATTTCTTGCAATGTGCTTTAAATATGTGTCATTACTGACTTAAATATTAAAAAGCTAATAAGTTTGGAAAAGGAACCTATAAACCCATACATACGCTGATATATCCATGTGTGTGTGTGTGTGTGTGTGTGTGTGTGTGTGTGAGAGAGAGAGAGAGAGAGATCGTTTTATTACTGTTAATATATTTTGCTTAAAATGTATAATGTAGCTTCTGAGAATAATTATTTAAGTAAATACCATCAAAATAATTTAAATAGCTTAAAAAAGTGGAAAAGTAAAGCTTCTGTAAAAGCTATTGGTATAAAATGATTTTAAGTCAACCAAGTAATATTTCTGTTTTTGTTGAGAATGAGAAAGGAATAAAACAGGAAAAGAAAAGACTATTACACAATAGAAAATCTTATCTGCACTCAAGATGCTCCTTAGAAATAGAAAATATGCTCTGATTCAGACTTGTTTTCACCCGTTTTTCTCTCTGCCTCCGGTTGCAAAACCAAACTCTTACTACTTCTTTCTCCAGATTCAGTTCTTCAGCCATCTGTGTGATCTCTTGAGAAGAAGGTTTATTTTGTTCTCCAAAGTGTCTCTCCAGAGCATCTTTAGCAGCAATACTGGGGTGGGGTAGAGATAGGAGGTGAAATTATGTTGTTTTTAGTGAAGTTTTTGGCAGATTAAAATTAAGTTAGGTTTAATTTCCTAAATATTAAGATGAAAAGGAAATTTTAAGACTCTGAACACACTTGCAAAACACTTTAACAAGGACAAATGTACAATTTGCTAAATATGTAGATGTGTTGTCTTACGCAAGGTACAGTTACACAAGAGAGTCACAGAAAGAAATAAGTAGGGGGACCTAGGCTTTCTATGTTTATTCCACTTTGTGCCACCAGAGGGCACTGAATTCTTGAAAAGAAAGTGAACATTTTCCCAGTCATTTCTAAATCTCTCCCAAAATCATTTAGGGCTGTGCGCAATAAAGAAAATCTCCAGTGAACAACCAACCAAACAAAACAAAACCTGTCTTTTAGCATTTCCTAAGCATGTCTCACAGAAACTACAAAAAGATCAACAAGCAATCTTTTTGGGTTGAAATGCAAGAGTCATGTTGAACTTTAAGAGGCTGAAACACTTACTAGTGTCGTATTTTAAAATAATACAGATAGATATCATAGATAGTACATTGTCACAGCCATAAGTTATATCTACAAGGATGGCAGATATGGCCACTCTCTTAGAAATGATTGTCTGCTTTCTGTTTTTATTCAAAATTTCTGGAGCAAAAGTGTTCTTGAATCAATCAATACAAAATTTTCCATCAAATGTTAAAAATTATTAGCTCTCTATTTTTCACAATTAAGGTATTAAATTATGATTTTTAAAACCTATCCTGGTTCTTCATTTGACTGTATTCACCTTATATTTATTTGTATTTTTTATCTTTTTATTTTATTTTATTTTATTTGTTTTTAGATGGATTCTCGCTCTTGTTGCCCAGGCTGGAGTGCAATGGCGTGATCTCAGCTCACTGTAAACTTCGCCTCCTGGGTTCAAGCAATTCTTCTGCCTCAGCCTGAGTATCTGGGATTAGAGTCATCTGCCACCATGCCCGGCTAATTTTTGTATTTTTAGTAGAGACAGAGTTTCACCATGTTGGCCAGACTGGTCTCGAACTCCTGACCTCAGGTGATCCAGCTGCCTCGGCCTCCCAAATCACCTTACATTAATATGTTATGTTATACCTACATTACAATCAAATGCTCATTTCATTTATAAAATACCAATTTTGTCCTCTAGAAACTCTTTATATAAAGAATACCTTATAGTTGTTCTTCGTTTCCTTTTCCTTTCATTCGCTCCCACTTTTTCATTGTACAAAGCTATAATGTGGAAAAGAGGATAATTACAAACTCCAAGTAGACTTTCCACAAAAACACTCTCAGATTTGGATTTCAAATTTTCTTGGTAAAACAATACAAAAATGCCAGACATTTTTGTCTTAATTTTTGCAGTTTAAGTCATTTTCTATTACAGAGCTTCAAGAAAAATGTTAACACAGAAATAAACATTAATTTTGCAAAGACACCTTCTATAAACAATATCCTCACTTTACTTTTGCCGGAATCCTTGCTGTAAATACTCTCAAACCTCTTCTTTATCCAGCCCTGACATTTGTATGAGTAGGTAATTTTCTCATTAAGTTGCATATCTAGCAATTGCTTATATTATTTACTTGGAAGACTGGTGTGTGCAAATGCTTTGTGTACACTAATATTTGTGATTCATATACAGCTTCTTTAGTATAAAAGAGAGACAAAAATATGGATGTGTAAAAAAGTATTTTACCACTTCATGTTGCTGCCACCTTACCTTGTAAGTTTTCCTTATACAGGTTACTCTTTCCTCAATCAATTTATTTCTATACTTACATTGCCTTCCTTTTTGGTGTCTGTTTTTAGTGTGATGTAGCAAGATGTTTATTTTTAATCTCAAAGAGAAAAGGAGAAAAAAATCCCTCAAACCTCCTGCTTCAGCATTAATCCTACTGATCAAAGCCATTATTGCTAGGTTAAAACATAGCACAGCCTTCAGAGAGACGGTTTAGTACCTCCCACTTGCTCAGCTTCCTCCAGCCATTTGGATAATATTGCTTTCAGTTTGCATGCATTTTTAAAGCTGAGCTGCAGATTTTCAAATCGGCAGATAGTTGTTTGACTGAATTCGGAGCCGTGCACAGCTGCCAGGGCCTCCCCAACGTTTGTTTGGGTGTATCCTGTGAAGGGGCGATAAAGACCATCAGCTCCAACTTTCCAAGAAAGGTTAATTTTGGTTCGCTGTCACACAGATCTTTGTATCTCTGTCAACTATTACATACTGCTTTTTAACTATATATTCTTGGCAAAGTAGAATTATTTAGTGAGGTTCATTGTACTTTGAAGTGCCTGTCCAATGCTTTGGAACATATTTCTTCTAGTTAATAAATTCCTTTTATCTAGTCATCAAAATAATTCAGACAGAAACCTCTGCCATTCATCATATTTAGCCAGTGTTTAGGTATCTCCTAAACACTTAATAAGACACTTGAAAATTATGGCTCTTTTTATCATTATTGTTAAGTATCAAATGATATATGCTCAAACATCTTTAATATATTAACTATAATGCATCAAATATTTGGTTATATATCACAAAATTTTTTATTTTAACTCTAAAAGATTCAATGGTATCATTGAAGGGTACTAAATACAACTAAGTTTTATGCTACTTCCCCTAAAAACATATTTACTAAGAGGTCATGATTACACATTTCATGTATACCTCTGACCCTGTTTATAGTTTTTGGTAATGCCTCTATCTTCAGACAAAAGATCCTATTGTTTGTCCCAAACATTTTTAGAGTACAGTTGAAATAATCAACATATAGTTTGAAACATTCGCAGCAATATAAACAGAAAACTGAAAATGAATTTCACAAATATTCCTGTTACTATGTTTATTACATGTAATAGCTACATATTATTTCAAGACCTAAGGCTATATACCAATATATATAAAATGGTTACATATGATGCCCATCAATAAATATTATTATTAAATTACCAATGGTTCATTTTGCAAGTGCAGAGGTTTGAACTATCATTTCTATCCGTTAAAAATATACACAACTTTATGCAATTTTACCAAAGTTAATTGTTATAGTTGTTTTATGTTAAAAACACTCAATAGAAAAATGAGCAAAGGCTTTGAACAGACAGTTCACAGAAAAGGAAATATAATTGATTGTCAAACACATTAAGTAATACAGTTTACACTCATAATAAAAGAAACTTTAAATGAAATAACCATGAGATGTCACTTTGACCTGTCTGATTTGCAAAGATCTAAAAGAATAACAGCATATCTTTTCCTTCAACCACCATTTATTTATTTTATGTTCTAGTTATACTCTTCTAGGTGCTGGAGATATCATTAAGGATAAAACACAAAGATTTTTAAAACTCATGCTTTTTGCAGTTTATATAGTCAGGGGATGGTGAAAAATATTCTCATGGTGGTAGTAAAATTTGGTACAACGTCTCTGCAGACCAGTTTGACAACCACTATAAAAACTACCAGTACACATACTTTTGATCAAGCAGTTATGCTTCTAACTTTTTCCTACACAAATATTTATATGGGTGCAAAATACCTTTATAGGGTTAATCATCGTGGCATTGTTTTTAATAGCCAAAGATTGGAAACCACCTGCATTTCATCAGTAGAGGACTGGTCAAATAAATTGCAGTATATTCATAAAGTGGAACTTGACATCTCTACAAAGGAAAAGGAGTTCTAGAAAAATTACCACTGAAAACTTCAAATAATACTTATGTTTGACACAATATATATATTTGCTTGCATAGGCATGAGATATCATTGGAGAGACATAGAAGAAACTCACAACAATGACAAACAGGAAAAAGCAGAGGGGATCCATGTCGCTTATATTCTTTTTACTTTCAAATCATATGAATGTATGGTCTATTCAAAAGTTCAAATAAAATACAGATAAAAATGGACACTTCAAAACTAATCTTGTGGTGGGAAAGTTTTGAAAGAATATTCCGAATTTAAAAATTATGTATTTAGGCTCTTAAGAAATTATAAGAAAACACAGGGTTTTGGAGGATATTCATAACAACTACCTACAGCACAGATGAAGAATGAGAATCATCTTAGGATTTTGAGCAACATATCAGAGATTTAACAGTAAAACAGATTTGCAAACCGAGTTATTTTTCCTGTTGCATTTAACAAGCACATACCTAACTTAATTCTTCTCACTTTAAATTCATTGGCAAACTTTTCAAGTTCTCTGATCTCTGGAGAGTCCATGTCTATTGGCTCTTCCACCAATTTACTTTTCCGCCTGAGTTCCTGTTTGAAATCAGCAGCCGCGGGGTCCTCTGCCAGGAGAGGCTGGTGTATAGGGGGAAATCCATGACTCAAGGTGTGGTCGGGAAATTTATAGAGACAAGGGGTTAAACTACCTGTGAGTAAACAAAGAAAAAAAAATGAAAAAGACCATTTGTAATTCTTCCTTGTTTCTGTATAAGGAAGGTTTTTGCCTGATGTGGCCCTTTATTCTGCTCTAGCCAGCCTCAGTACTTAAAAGGTTACCTTACATTCAGTCTTCTGAAGTAGGAGTCAAATTAGCTTAGTAGAATTGAAATTATTTATCTTCTACCTTCTCCAGAGCAGCAAAAAACAAAGATAGGGTTAAAGGAAAGAAGCAGGGGACTGCCAATAACTAAAATAAAAAGAAACAACTTCTTTCAGAGTGTACATTTTCTATCATTTTTTTCTCTTAAATGGCATCTATTCCTGGGAATCTGAGGTTAAACTCTAACTAGAATCTATGTATTGAACTCTGTTTTCTCAATTCATTGAACAATAACCTATGGGGTTTGCTTTAATCATGGCAGTACATGCTTTGACTAAGTGCTCTGCTGAGAAGTTTTCTTGAAAAATAACAACAAGCCGGGCACGGTGGCTCACGCCTGTAATCCCAGCACTTTGGGAGGCCGAGGCGGGTGGATCACGAGGTCAAGAGATCGAGACCATCCTGGTCAACATGGTGAAACCCCGTCTCTACTAAAACTACAAAAAATTAGCTGGGCATGGTGGTGCGGGCCTGTAATCCCAGCTACTCAGGAGGCTGAGGCAGGAGAATTGCCTGAACCCGGGAGGCGGAGGTTGCAGTGAGCCGAGATCGCGCCATTGCACTCCAGCCTGGGTAACAAGAGCGAAACTCCGTCTCAAAAAAAAAAAAAAAAAAATCAGAAAAATAAAAATGATACAAATAACTCAATACAATAAAATAATGATTTACATAACATTTACATTGATTTAGATATTATAAGTAATCTGGAGATGATTTAAAGTAGAGGATGTGCCTAGGTTATAAAGAAATACTACGTCATTTTATACCAGAGACTTGAGCACCTAAAGGTTTTGATATCCTTCAGAGTCCTGGAACCAATATCCCACATATATCTAAGGATGATTGTATAAGAAAGACATTTTTACATAAAAATATTGAGTGATTAATCATTTTCTTAGAAGTATAAATAAATATTTTAAAATAAATTACTATGGAATACATGCAATAATTATTCTTAGAAACTTACTGAAAAAATACATCAAGAGTTCATGCTACCTATAATTTCACCACACATACATTCTCAACTCAGACATGAGTAATAATATATTTTTCCAGAATACATAAATCTTACATTAATATATCAATACGTAATGAGCAAAGAAGAGTATAATTCAGCAAATTGTTGGTTTATATTATTTATATAAAAGCATGTAATTATAAAGTGCACCCCATCTAATAGGATATATTATTTCTAAAGCAAAGTAAACATACAAATGAGAGATTAAACAAATTAGCATACAATAAATTTGTCTGCTTTAAAGCCGGGAAAAAGATGTGAAAGAAGCTATTTTTGTCTTTAAAAAATTCCTGCTACTTTTATAAACCAAAATTATCCAGGTTTACTTTTATAAAAGTCAGTTGACTATCCTTTTTTATTTTATTTTTGAGACAAGATTCTCATTCTGTCAACAGGCGCCAGGCTGGAGTGCAGTGGCACAATCTCGGCTCACTGCAACCTCCACTTCCTGGGTTCAAGCAATTCTCCTGCCTCAGCCTCCTGAGTAGCTGGAACTAAAGGCGCATGCCACCACGCCCAGCTAATTTTTGTATTTTTAGAAGAGGTGGGGTTTCACCATGTTGGCCAGGATGGTCTCGATCTCTTGACCTCGTGATCTGCCCACCTGGGCCTCCCAAAGTGCTGAGGTTACAGGCGTGAGCCACCACGCCCGGCCAAATATCCATTTTTTTGTTTTATTGTGTGGCATCTTGGTCAGACCAGGGAACTTTTTTAAAAGCAATTTTACCAACTTTCATTATATCACTTTTCTTCAAAATGTTTATTGTCTGTGGGTTCATTGTTTGCTTTTTGTTAATTTTAATTTTCTTCTAAATTGAAAGAAGAACTAATAGTTGTAAAAAGAAAACTGGTGACATTTATTTTAGCATTTATTTAATATTTATCTGAAGACTGGTGCTTATGCTTCCAGAATTGATTCTCACATATATTTATACAACCTTCACTTCTTTCATTATTTAGGTATATCAGGCATCACTTAATAAATTTAATAATAAAATACCCTGAGAAAGAGTATAAGGAACATCCAGGCTACTGTTAGATTTTTGTACGTTTAAAATATTTTAAGCCACTTTGGATAACTCATTTAATATGTTAAATTATGTTTATTTTATATAAATTGTGTGTCTTTTACATAAGCATATCATAAGATCTTAATCTGTCATCAAATTTGATTATTATTTTCAATTTCTCTTGCTGATCATAATCATGTACTGCTACAAATGTTTTATGCAACACTTTGTGTTGTGTTAATTTCACATTTGTCATCTTCTTTATTTTTATACAAAAAATGAGTTAGGAAAGATATATATTTTTTCTCATAATTTACAATGTAGGAAATTTAAGTAGAAAGAAATTAAGTAAATTACCTCCAGTGCCCAACAAATTAACTTTGCAGTTTAAACCAGAACTGAAGTCCAGTAAGCACTGCAGTAAGCCACACCAAAATAATTGCCCGGTCCATTTGTCCAGGCAGTCCGTACTGAGGTAAATTAAATAACTTCTCTTTAAAAGGTTTTATCTTCATTTAAACACCTTTGGCTATGTTAAACAAATGCTTTCAGACAAAAATATTATAATAAAAATATATAAAGTATGTCATTTCTATTTTCATAAAATTGTTTGTTTGTTCGTTCGTTTATTTTTTTTTTTTTATTTTTAGAGATGGGATCTCACTCTGTCTCCCAGACTGGAGTGCAGTGGTAAAATTATAGCTCATTGAGTCTCAGATTCCTGGGCTCAAGCCGTCCTCCCATCTCAGCATCCTGAGTAGCATCGACGGACATGCTTCACCATGCTCATCTAATTTTTAAAAAATTTTTGCACAGACGGGATCTCACTATGTTGTTCAGGCTGGTCTCAAACTCACCGCTTCCCAAGCACCAGGATTATAGGCATAAGCCACAGCACCTGGCCACAAAAATTTAAAGGTGGTTTATAAATTATAAGTACTCTGGGAAAGTGGACGCACAGGAAAAAAATTTGAATGGAATCTATGAAAAGTACACAGAAAATACCATGTTCCAAGGTTTGGCACCCAGAGACAAAAAAGAAAATGTGATGTGTGATACGCTTTTATTTTTTATTTAAAAAAAATTTTTTTTGAGACAGAGTCTAGCTCTTGTCCCCCAGTCTGGAGTGCAATGATGTGATCTCAACTCACTGCAACCTCTGCCAGCTTGAAGCTATTCTCCTGCCTCAGCCTCCTGAGCATCTGGAACTACAGGCACCTGCCACCATGTCCGTTAATTTTTGTATTTATAGTAGAGACGGGGTTTCACCACGTTGGCTAGGCTGCTCTTGAATGCCTGACCTCAGGTGATCTCCCCGCCTTGCCCTTCCAAAGTGCTGGGATTACAGGCATGGGCCACCATGCCTGGCCCACTTTTATTTTTCATTATGTGAAAGTATCTACAATTATCTGCAATGTCACAGATTTCCTGGAACTAACTTCACACCGAATTTAATTACAACAATTTAAAAGCACAAACGAACTTCTGTTTCTATCATCTGAGCCTGCATTTGGGTGAGTGTGGAGAGCGACTGGGATAATATGTATAGCAATATATTTTTCAAATCCTTTTAAAACCTAGATTACTGGAAAAAATAGGAAGAAAATGAAAGATGTGGTGAGTCATGTGCAGCGGAGGTCTCAAAAACATTTTCTGAAACATGGATAAAGAAAAATTATTTTGAGGCCTGGACAGCACACACACACAGCTCAGAAGTGTTTGCACACTGCAGTTCTAAACCCATTTTCACACTGAAGTTAATTCACCAGAACCTTTGTAAATTGCTGTGTATCTATTTCCGTGTGACAGAGGAGGGAGAAGAACAGAGGTAAATCTTTTAAAGCAGGCAATGGGGGTCAGAGATAGGGCTTGCCTTACTAGGCGCTGACTCAATGTACCATAGCATGGGACAGATTGATCTTTGCAGCATGTGGTTAGCTGACAACATCTCAGGTTACAGCCTGGATGCCTTAAAAAAACAGGGGAAGGCCGGGCACGCTGGCTCACGCCTGTAATCCCAGCACTTTGGGAGGCCGAGACGGGTGGATCACGAGGTCAAGAGATCGAGACCATCGTGGCCAACATGGTGAAACCCTGTCTCTACTAAAAATACAAAAATTAGCTGGGCGTTTGGCACGGGCCTGTAGTCCCAGCTACTGAGGAGGCTGAGGCGGAAGAATCGCTTGAACCCGGCAGATGGAGGTTGCAGTGAGCCGAGACTCTGCCATTGTGCCCCAGCCTGGTGAGAGAGCAAGACTCCGCCTAAAAAAAAAAAACAAAAACAAAAACAAAAACGGGAAGCAGAGGGACATAGTAAAATACACCACCCTGCTGTGCTGTAACATGTACAGGAACATGTGTCTACATACTCCCACTAGTTCCTCATGCATGAAAATTCAAAGGAAATTATAAACTTCCGCTGTGATATTTTCATTTTTGTGCATTGGCAAATCCTATCCACGTACAACAGGGGCCCATTGCCTATTTTTTGAAAATTAAGTTTAATTTAAATACAGCCATGCCTATTCGTTTACATACCACCTGTGACTGCCTTCCTGCTACAGTGACCGAGTTGAGTAGTTGCAACAAAGACTAGAAAGGTTGAGATATTTACTGTCTGGTTCTTTACAGGAAAGGGTTTCCAATCCCTCCTCCAGAAGTGAAAATACATCATGTTACTGCTACCAAAGACCTTTCATGACGCAGAAGCAAAACATCTTCAGAATTACTTGTCTTCTTAGAGTCGTTACAACCAGAACATATTCGGGGCCAAATAAAACAAAGAACCAAGGAAAAGAAGTAAATTAAGAAAAAAAAAATCAAATTTCAAAGAACGAAAAAATGGGCTCCAAAATAGACTACTTCCCCCTGTCAACTGTTAGGCTGATTTCTGTTTTCTTCTGTATTAGCCCAGGCAGTGAGAATATTTTCAGCCATATCAATCTTTTCTTTTAATATCCACTTGTCATCAAAAAGAATTGGATGCTCATCGGCTTGTTTAATTCCCAAGAGTTTTGTTTCGTTTTTCCCTTGAAATTAATTTTTAAAGCAAGGACTTTCACACCACTTCTTGGATTGGTCATTATATCATCTAAAGACGGTGGGTTTAACACTCATCACAGTGAGGTTCAGTTGCTCTTTCCACAGGACAGTGGAAAGGGTGAACGCCCACTGAGCTTGTTTTCTGAATTTTACTCTGCTTCAGATACTGGAGAACAGAAATGATCTCAGAAACCCAAGAGTCAGGGTTTTGATAACCTTTTGTTGATATTTTGTTTTCTTTTGTTTCAAAGTTTGTTTTGTTTTGTTCAAAGAAGATATTTTGAACAGCATTTGTAATTCTCCGTTTTCTGTTATTTGTACTATAAGGTGTTGAATTCTCTAAACTCTCAGGAGTGAAGGGACAGAAGGAATTTAGCTGCAAGAGTATCTGAAGAGAAGATCAAAAGAGAAATCATGTTGAGCTGACACAAGTTTGCTTACTCAACTCCAACAGAGTTGTAGTACCCACCACAGCTTAGATATGTAGAGATTGAAACTCAGAGTCCTTAAGTCACTTGACAAATTTTAGTAATTAATTAATGGCATGGATAATCATTACTCCCAATTAGCCATTCTCTTTATTTTTTTTTTTTTTGCATCTGGACTATTAAGAACAGTGAATTCATCTGATCATTAAAATTCTACCTGCCAACCTGACAAAATATGAGTTATATCTCTTCCTGTGGGTTATTAATTTAATGAACTGCTCAAACTAAATGTAGGAGTACGGGTAATGAAATGACATATGAAAATAAAGTGATTTCACATCTTTTAGAAATATGGTTCTTTCTGTAACTTCACTTTTATGTAGAGTATGTGACACCCTGTCGTTGTTGTTAAGACACTTCTGTGGATTCTGTGAAAGTGGCTGATCTGATTCATGCCTTAAGACTTCTCAGAAAATTCAAATGACATAATCAGGCCTCTATTGTGTACTTTATACCTTTTCTCTCTCATGTCTGAATTCCTGTTATTTTGTAACTCAATTTGTGCAGCTTGTCTGGAGATAAAAGCAGGAGAGTTTAGATTCTCTAAGATTTAATCTCTCATGAAGCAAATCTAATACTGAATTATGTCCAAATATAGACATTCTGACATTTAAAGCATATCACATTTTAACAAAATCCTTCTCAAAAATATTCAAATATCTCTGTGATTGTCATGGTGAGTTTTTCTTTCAGTCACAAAATATATTTAACTTTAAGACAACAATGATACCTCTACACTTTGGTGTAAGTATTTTGCTCTTGATGTCACTAAGCCAGCATTTTGAATCATTCCGAAAGGCTCACCCAATGAGGAAGAGGTTCATGGAAGAGGGTTTGCTGAGCTCCTGCTTGAGGAAACATGTTTCAAAAGACATGAGCTCCAACACGCTCAATGTGAACACTGGCACAATGGCTCTCATCCTGGAAGCAGGAAGGGTGTGAGAATTCTGAGGCCACCTGCAAACTCCTGAGGCCAGCTGTTGGCCCTCTCTGATTTGGCGGGGTGGGAGGTGATAGCAAAAATTATCTGAAGGTATTTGGGCAAGAGATTATTGGCTGCTGGTCTGTGACTGGTTTTAATCTTGGTGGCAACCTTAATGGGCTGGCAGGGACTGCCTCTCTGTTTGGGCTAAGAGAGAAGCTAAAGATGGACTTTGGTTTTTGGGACTTCCTCGAAGGCCTTTCCTCCAGGAAACAGCAGCATGTGTTTGTCATTTCCTGTCTCATAATCAAAACGTTGTAAAGGCCACAGAAATCATTCCACCCTCACCTCCAGTAGATAAATGCACATATTTTACTATTTCATAATGAAAGTAGTTCATCATTGATGAGGTCTGTTCTCATTAACTATGAATACTAATTAAACATGTTGATCATAAATAATTTTCTGGGAGGAAAAAAAATGGCTTTATTTCTTAATAATTAAAAAAAAAAAAAAAAAAAGATATCAGGATTTACAGGTCATCCTTAAGAACACCAGTCCTCATTTAACCATAAATATGAGGATACTGGTTTATTCAGAATCAGTAAGAGATTGATAGAATGTAGGAAAGCTAACATTTTTCTGAATTATAATTTTAAAGTTTTAATGTTTTATTTAGTCTTAAATGAATAAATTTTAAGACATCAAAGATTAAACAATTTAATTAAAATTGAACTATTTGTTCCATTTCACTTCAAAATTATAGGAATAAATCACTATTTGGTTGTTTGTTTCTTTACTGCTTACCTGGATGATAAGAAAAACACAAGTCAATTAGAAAAGATTTCACTAATAGGTGATTCCTTTATCCACAGTTTCTCCCTCAGTATCACACACATACACACCCATACCATGCACACACACACACACACACACACATACACATTTTATCACAGTTTTAGTTTGTCATCAATAGAGTTCTTTCCCTGCTGTAGTAAAACATGTAAAATATCAAATAATTTCTTTAAAAATAAACAAATGAAAATCCTGTGCATAATAAAACCCTGCACTTTTTAAAATGATTAAAATCATTTACGTGGCGATGCCATGAAATTAAGCAAGAGTTTTTGGCGAGTAGATCTCATAAGCCAGATCTGCCCATTCCTCAAAAACTGTGCTTCAATGCCTTCCTATAAAAATCAGTAAACAGGTAGCTATACTTGAAGTAGATAACTTTGATGATTTCAATCTCAGTTAAGACTCACTGAGAAGCAATTCAGAAAGGGTTGCTAAAGCCTGAAACAGCTATCACTAAAGCCCCTGCCAATCACTCTTAGCATCAATCAATGTCTTATTTATCTTTATGGACCAAATGTCTGAAGAAATATAATGATGAAGTGGGTGTTCTGTAACCCTGTGCTGCCTGATACGGTAGCTAGCCACATGTGGTTACTGAGCACTTGACATGTAGCTAGTGCAACTGAGAAACCAAATTTGAAATCTTATTTCATTTAAGTAGCCACATGAGGCCAGTAGCTACTATTTTTTTTTTAGTGCAGGTAAGCCTACCAATCACATCAAGTTACAACTAACAGTTTGACAATAGTGAATTTGAATAAAAACCATACAAAGCAAAAGCAAGAGTTAAGAAGCACGGCAGTTCAGGGTTATGTGTGTAGGGAAATTAGATATGATCCCTATGGTCTATGAAGATGTTACAGAGCATGAAACAAGAAGTGGTAATTTTTAACAATAATTTTCAAAGTTAAGAAACTGGAATTTCATGTTTCACTCTGATCACAATTATTTCAGGCCCGGAAAATACATCTAAGTGTCCCCAAATTCAATAACATGTAACAGACAACTTTTCTTACCTGCCATCACTCCATAGGTTGATGGCTGGTTTCCATAATGACAGGAAGGAACAGAATAATGAAGTCCTGTTGCTGTGTTTCCCAACGTTGTCACCAAGAAATGTGTGCGCAAACATTCAGCAGTTTGGATCAAAGACAAAATAGATGGGACTGGTAAGAAAATGTATGAGGATTCAAGACACATTCGTTTTATCTCAAAAGTACACATTTATGTGGTTCTTAAAGTTATATGCTAATGATTTTTTTTCTCATTTGGGGGAAGTTCTCTGATGAGCAGGTTAAAAGGGGGGGATCAAAGTGTGTCTCATGTAACAAGATAATAAGTCATCAAAATGGACTTCATTAATTATCCTGTGCTCTGTGTGCTATGGCTACCAGTGCTCCACGAAGGGGGGACTGACCAATTTGGACCTTGGCTCTTTGGGAGTTGCAGAATTCTTGTGGGTTCTGTTCAATGCAGACATTGCAACTCCTTGACTAGAAGAAAAGTCTCTTAAAATTCTTGTGTCTCATGGTATTATAAAGCAGTCTGTATGAATTAATACAGAAATTAACTCTTCAACAATGTATTTTTGGTTATTTCTCTAACAAATTTGTTTCATCAAAGTGGAAATGGCAGAGCAACTAGCCTTTTAGATATAGTCTTAAAAATCTCACCACATTCAGAGTGCTATTAAAAACCTGTGACAATATATGATCTATTTACTTTGATGTTGAAATCATGAGATTGTAAGTTTTCTTTTTTTCTATTCAAACATTAAAAATGTTTATTTTTATGTACTGACATGGAAGGCTATCTTTAGTAAGGTTTCTATATATGCACAATTGATACAACCATTCTAATGATAAAGCCGGTCAAAAAAATAAGTTCATTGATTGAGTGACTTAACATCCATAAAGCTGTATATAAACGTAACTGTTTATAAATGGTTATATGCTTCATGGAATCAATGTGTATTTTGAAAGTAAATTGGAATTATTAGACTTTTATCAAGTTTTAAACAAAAATCATCAAGTTGACAGGGATCATAAAATATTGACAATAAAAACACTGGTCAATATTTCCTTATATATTTTACTTTCTCAATTTCTTCTTTTATATTCTGAATATATTGGTTAATTTTCATAAATATAACTATCTTCTTTAATAATTGAGAGGTTATAAAGTACAGAGTTAGACTCCTTTGAGAATACTGATATACAGTCTAGTAATTAAACACATGCCTTCTCTTCATAAAGTAAAATATATTATTTTAAAATAGAGAATAATCTTTAATTTTTAAATATCTATTTTTTTATTTTATAACTAATAAGTCAAAAGAACTAAAGTTATTTTGCAATATAATGCTTACATATAAAAGTCTTACTGTGCATTCTAAAATTAAACAAATTATTATTAAACACATTTAATACTCAAGTGTTCCCATTAAAGCCAGTATTTCTATTATAGTTCCTTAGACACTTGTATAGATGCTTATAATTTCATTAAAATATTAAAAATCAATGCTACTATCATTTAAAACATTTGTAGGTCACTTTTATTAATAATTTTTTAAAGCTTAATAAATTTTTGCTTTCCAGATTTTAGGAAGTTAAATACAGGATAGGCTAATTTACTAAATACATTGTTACTTATTTTTAAATAAATAAATGGCATTTTGAGCACAAAATTAGATTTTACTAGATTATTACCTCAATTCTGAATTTTATTTCCATTTTGGCCAAATTATCTTCAAACACAGAAATAATCTATTATTCTCAATCTATAGAATGACATACTATTTAAAATATATGATTAGCAATGTGGTAATTTCTTAGATTTATTTATAGCGTGTATTTTTGATAAAAACCCTTTATTGTCTTTTGCAAAAATTATGTTGGAGGATACTCCCAGTATTACCTTTTAAATTAAATTATGGGAATCTCGTGGATTTGGACCAATCTGGTGGATTCCCATAATTTAATTTAAAAGATAACACTGAAAAATCTCTACATTAAATGATTTTACCAAAGTCCAAATATCTATTCTCCAGATTCTTTAAAATTCAGCAGATTGATGCCAAACTTACACATATATTTGGGAAAAGCTTAATTATAATAAAAGATATAGCTGAAATCCTTCAAATCAGAATATAAAAGTATCAACTCAAATTTGATTTATAAATGTACATAATTTTATTATATTCCTAAATATGAGACAGATTGCATTTGAAACCAATGGAAAGTTTGTTCCACTTAAGACAAATTAAATTGGAGGGGTAATATGAAAGAAGAAAAGAGATTATTAACTATAAGATTCAAAGCATTCAGCAATTATATTGTTGTTTAATGGAAAAAATTTATTCAATTCAAGTCTTTTTCTATTTGTAAATCAACTTTAAAACAGTTTGTGACTGCATAAAGAATGAACACACTGGCAAAACATACGTATATGGCTGATTGTGTTGAGACAATTATTCTCAAGTTTAAGTTTTGAATTTTTGAATTCTCAAGTTTATTTTTTATTTTTAAAAGTTAAAACTTTTAAAAAGTCACCTAACTTTTTAAAAAGTTAAAACCAATGTTAAAACTTGTTTAGAAATGAAGCAGCCTCTTCAGAACACAATTGAGAAAATTTACCTTAATTAATGGACTTTAAATGCCATGTTATTTCTGGCTAAAATTTCTGTGTCTCATACTAAAAATATGTTTATTAAAACTCAATTATTTTATTCCATGAAATCTATTGTTGTTGATATTTGGATTATTCTGTTGTGTTTAATTTAAGGTTTATATCTGTCTTTAGGAAGTAGTAAATGTAATCTAACAGCCAAATAAATCCTTAAGATAAAGAAATAACACCTTTTAAATATTACGTTATTTTATAATATTCATTTCATTTGCTTCTTATTCTATAAATATTTCAATTAAAATGGTTTTCAGATTTGAAATGTCCAAGTTCACTTTTCTTATGTGGAAAACAGATTTTCATCATTACAACAAAGCCAACAACGATTTAAATTACTATACTTAATAATATTTCTTTAAAAAATTCTTCGGCATGTTGCCTATTTAGATATGCTTACTATTTCACTTAAGACAAATTAAATTGGAGGGGCCAAATGAAAGAAGCAAAGAGATCTTTAACTATCAAGATTCAAAGCATTCATTCTGAAATCTTTAGGCCCGGCCATATGTAAACTGTCAAAGCAGTCAGTACCTGTAGGCATCACATTGGTGGCATGGTTGGAGACTGGTAGGCACTCGGCAGCACTGTGATGCATTATCAGAGGCAGAGTTGCAGAGGCGTCAGAATTCAGAGGTATAAAAGTATCAGCCGAAGTAAAAGATTGGCAACTCATTCCCACAGGAGAGCAGAAAAATAAGGAGAACAGCTGCTCCCCAAATCAGAGTTTTATTATATTACAGTCTCAAAAGGCCGATTCAATTCTCACTACCTGCATATATACATCAGGAAGGCTCTGAGGCACCAGGAGGGCGTGTGCTAGTATTTATATTGCAAGGAAATCCCTTTATACATGTTAATGGTTTTTTCTCAGGAGTATTGCTTTATCAATCTGAACTGTCTTCCTTTTTCACCCAAACATAATCCATGGCAGAGAAGGAAGCTGATTCTGGGGTACAGATGGAGGGGGAAGGGAGAAATCTGAAACCTTATTTGACAACTTCAGTAGTTTAGATCATTTAGAGAGGAATCAACAACTTTGAAAATGTGTCCCTCAGAAAAAAAATAATGCCACAATGAATTGAAAAATAGTAGGTGTCTTTTTGCTACTAACAAAATTGCAAATGTATAAACATGAGATATTTTTCTTTTTTAACAACTTCTCCATAAATCTACAAAACAACATGAAACAAAAGACATGCATACTATTATACATAATTTTAAGAAACTGAATATATAAGATTATACTGAGAAGCATATAAGACTCAATATGAGAAAACGTGGTCAATTACTGATTAATACTCAACAATGCACAGCTTTTAAAAACTATGATAATCAATATAAGTTGTACTATATTATAAATGGGAAAAATTGGATAAAATATAGTAGCGTTAAGTTGGTGCAAAAGTGATTGCAGTTCTTGCCATTACTTTTGGCAAGAACTGCAGTCACTTTTTCACCAAACTCAAATGCAAGTAAGATATGGATAGTTGTATCTTTACCTCGATTTCAATTTGCTCTTTAAGAACCCAACACTTGGTAAACTGTTACTAGATGCTGACAACATTCTCAGTATTTATACAGTTATGTCATGCAAATCTCACAACATCTATGTGAGTTAATGCACCTTGCCAACATCACTAAGCCAGACTTTGCCAGAGGCTGAAATCTTGGTGGTTCTGCCACAAAGCCTGAGGTAACCATGGTAGCTGCTAACTAGATGCAAACTTCTCACACGAAATGTATTTACTTTATATGAGAATGCAAAAACATTGCGCTACAAACAACTATTTCAAACACAAATATCAGCATCAAAATTTTACAATGATCATGATTTATGTATGTAATGAGTAAACAAAATACTATTTATGTCATGTGTACTAAAGTAATATGCCAAATAGAAGTAACCAAATAGGAATAGATATTATTGACATGAGTAGACACTTATTTTGTGCTATGGAACGTTTCAAGGTAACTTGGAATTGGTTGCTCTGTGTCAAATTTAATATTAATATTGATAATACATTTTGAAAAAATTGAACACTTTGTCAATAAGTGGCTGGTATTTTGGAGGAAAATATGTAAAAGCTTGCCCAAATCATTAGATATGGAGTGAAAATATTTATTCTAAAAGTGACAAATTTTTTCATTCTGAATTCTGTATCTTTGAAGCTCTATTAATGTTCTCTAATGAGATGAAGCTTCAAGTAATCAAAAGCATTATTATACTCTTGCAGAATACTGATAATTTTCAGACTTTACATATACAAAAAGTGGTTTTTCAGTATGTCTATAAGGAGCTCCTGTTAAGAAAATTAAATAAAACTGTTTATTGGATATTATATATGTTAAAAATTAAGCTAAATGATATTTATAGAAAATAGAATTTGAAAATTTCTCTTAATAGTTTTACTATTGTTACATAGAGTCATTGGAATACGTCGGCAAAGTATCTGAAAAATACACTTCATGGAGTGTACTGAAGATACTTTATGAAGTACCATAAATCCTGCCTAGCAAACAATACAAAATTTTCCCAGTACTTTACCATGCTATCTAAACATTTTTAAACTGCAATCTTAGACAGAATTTCTTCCATAATGATTCTTAAAAATTAAATAAACGTTCTGATAAAATGAGGTAAAGCCAGAAAATAAATGTTTCTATTATAGTCTTCTACTATATAAAATATCCACAGGATTATTTTGAATGTACCCCTTTAAGACAGATTCTTAGAAGTGGAATTACTAAGCTTAAGTATTACAAACTTTTAACATCTTGAAAGCATTACCAACTCGCATTTTCAACTAATTAATTATATTATGATTTTGATGTAAAAAATCAGGAATATGTCGAGCAAAAAGAACTGTTTCTTATCAGGAGACATAGGAGTTTCTTGGCACCCACAGAAAAGAAGCAAGTCAGGTCATAGAGGCTGAATAGAAAATGAGGCACACCTCTCTGCCTCTGTTACCTCAAAAATCTCAGGCCTTAAAATTTCAAGGAGGCAAAGAGGCTATCTTGTAGCTTCTCAGTCGACATTCTCTCTCTCTCTCTGTCTCTCTGGCTTGCTTTCTTTCTCTTTTTCCCTCCCTCCCTTCCTCCCTCCCTCCTTTGTTGTTGTTGTTGTTTTTTTTTAATAGAGATGGGATTTCTCCATGTTGGTCAGGC